CATGTCTGGACTGGAAATGAATTTGTTGACGTCCCAAATATGCCGAGATGAAGCTATGACTCTGCTTCATCTGAGAAGCGGTCTGTTCTTCCGTTGTCATAAATGCTCTACAAGGTGACACTAACACATGCGATCAACAGTTTGCATGCACTCAAAGCATGTGAATGAAACCTGGCATGTGTGCTATGCTCCGTATCTAGGATTGGAGGCACTGCAAAATATTTTGAGGCATGCCTATGGCCCCTTTCAAGGTCAAAAGGCATGCCCCTATTATAATACATACATTTGACGTATTGGAAAATGTACATATATGGAAATAATTTATTAGAAGTAAAATTGTTGAAAAGTTCCAGAAAATACGTATTAATTTTTTTGTACATACAGGCATGCCTCGTTCGGATTCTTCCATACAGGCATGACTGTATGGAAGAATCCGAACGAGGCATGCCCTTTGAGCTTGTGCCTCCAACCCTATCCGTATCCCTCTGATGCACCACATTCATCGCTGGGAGAAAGAAGGGAAACGGCAGGGCCCTTTTGAAAATCTATTGTTCAATTTCATGTCCTTCAGACAGGTTCTTTCCTTAATATCAGCTGGAACACATTAACCTCACGGAAGAAGGATAGTTAGAAGACGATTAAAAAAATTAGATTATAATAGAGGATATATTCTCCTATTGTGTGCATATTCAAATCTTCGCTGCTTTCTAACCGATGTCTTTTCTGCTTCAGACCTCTAGAAGATTTAAAGTGAAGTCTGTCACCTAGGATGCAAACGATGTTTGATGATTTTCGCTATTTAGTTCCCCAATGCTAAAACGTCCATTACAAGTGTAAACCTTTACCCAAGTCAGATGTGTAGAAGTCCTCAAACCTCTTACGAAGAAGCCAAGGGAGCTTGAACTAAGTAAGGTCTTCAAAGAAACTTGGGCTAGTCTTTTTCCCATCATCAGCATGCGAAGTCATCCGGATTAAGTTTTTCCTTTGATTTTTAAATTATCAACTTCATCAAACTCTCTATAATTATGAGGCACAAGATCACATATATTAGTTAGTTGGTTCTTTTAGGTCCAGCCCTCCTGCATGTACTATACAAAGGAGTGTGGTTCAACTTACGAGATGACCGTTAAATGTGGGGCATTGCTAAATGTAAGATTAAGCTACATTAAGCTGTAGAAATATGTACAAACTCACAGGTTAAAAGTCATCTTGAACCATAGCTTGGCTGTGATACTTCAAACTTCGCTTTATTGTGATTATTAGGATCTTGGGCAAGCTATGCGAACACCATAGTCTCTCTAGCCTTGCATCTTTTGTATTTGATCAGTCATAATTAGAAGATGTCCACTTCTGGAGTCACATTTCCACACTATTTTGGCTGTGACAGTGTATCGTTCGACATCTTGCACATGGGTGTAAAAAATGCGTACAATGTCATGTGCATCCAACTTCACAATTCAAAGGAATGTCAGAAAATCTTTGGCAAGACTTAGTCCTTTAGTGAGTTGTTATATAAGACTCTTCTTTTAACATGATTACAAGTAAGAGAAGATCAGTCTGAATTAGGTGTATGTACACGTCAGCCTGCAGGTTATAGATTGGCATGTATTCACGCCCCATCTTGTTGAGTTCTTTTACTAATGGATCAGTACTTCACTCTACGGGGTTGACGTTGATACTTTATAAGTTCATAATCATACTTACTTGTCATTGTGTTTCTCTGACTTCTTTTCGGTGAATGATGTAGAACTTTTGTCAATGTTGATCACATCGACCAAAGTTTTCATTACTGGACTATTAAATATCATGTTAGAGGATGGGATTCAAAATTTCAAGGTGGAAAGTATGATTACTTTAGATTTTACTCTTCTTCTTTAGTGATTAGATTAGTGTATGATCTTAAAACATTTGTTGAAATTTGAGTAGGGTCTAGGTATTTGTCTGATGAGACAAAGTCAAGGCTCTGGTTTGAGTTGTATTAGATTGAGGTGTTATTAATCTCCTAAGGGATACACATGTGATGTTTTAAGAATTATTTCTTTAAGGCTATTCGATCTATCTATCTACTTCTCTTGATTCTTCTTCCACCTACAGTTCTATTTTACTCGATAGACTGTGATCAAACTATCACGGTTATATGTTGACGTTGTTGACCTAAACTATTCCTAAACGTAAACTATTCTTAATGTGTCATTAGAGTCTCGTTGTAATTGCATGAGTAGATTTTCAGTTGATGAAATAGACAACACATTTAGCATTCTTTGATCACTCTCAACCACTTTGATACCTTTGTTTATTTATGACTGTTTTCATAACCATCCTTCATATGCATGTGCTATTGTGGACTACAGTTCAAATTCCCTGCATATACTATTACAGTTTAGGAGAGATGTTTTGTGTTAGAGACATTGCATGAACTCAAGTAATTTGTTTCCTTAACCACTTATTGTACAAAAGGTCTACCCTACATTCTAATGGATAGACATTTTGAACATGCTATCAAAGTGGATCATGCCCATTTGTACTACTGGAACTTGTATCTGCCTTTCCTCCAAAATGGTGAATCTTAGCTGCACCAATGCGTCAAGGCTTTCTAAACATCGTCAACTAGCCTCTCTACAACAAAGAGATATAAAAGTAGATGCTCGAGCTTACATAACACATTTAGATAGCCAAAATGTATCTAAAAGACTTGTACATTCTTGTCACTATGACGCCGTTGTTGTGATCCAGTGTGATTATTGCTGACCTGCAGTTTCATGCTTGCTTGCAAGACCTCACGAGGTCTTTCTATGCTTTTCGTTAAATTACAACTCTTTCTGTTTGGCTCTCTCCATCTCCATCTCAAAGATGCGGAACAATATCGTCCAAGTCAACTATCGATTAAGGAGGTAGGTGGTCGTGGCTATCTGTCAGACGTGCCAGAACGGGTCCGGAGGGAATAGAGGGACGCAAAGCGGAGCGGGAACCGCGGTCCTGGTCGCGGGGTGCAGCGGGTCACCAGGTAACAGTGACTGGGGAAAATGATTGTGCCGACGCGAGTCTGTGCTTGTGTGACAGTACCGGGACAGGCAGTTCCAGACACTCATTTCCAAATTTACTGGACTAACGATATCGCGAACTACTTCCATAAAATATATATAAATCGAAATGATGATCAGATCCTGACCCCTGAGATATATCTCGCCCTCCAGGACTTGGAAATTGCGAGCAAATTGGGAAATTTAGAGGCATCGTTCGTTACCAGTGTTGTGATCCGTGTCAGGCGGACTGGCGGTCCGCATAGATCGAACAATTATGACCGTCCGATAGACCTAGCACAACTGTGAGCAGTTTCACGTCGTCGATCTGAACCTCTCTCTCTCTCTCTCGTACGATGTATAGATATGATGGCGTATGGCCCATACGCCATCATATCTCTACATCGATAGTTCTATGACTGTACTCCATACGGTATGGGGTACAGTCATAGAACTCCATTGCTTACTATTGACGTGTGACATGGGACCCGTCTCCAGTTGCAAGTTGAGATGGGGACTGTCCAGAGGGTCCCCATGGAGAATATGTTCTCACAGCTGTAGGGGAAGGAAAAATAGTTAGTTATTTTTTAGTCTGCTCTCTAGCCACCAACAGCTCTCATTACCGCATCATTTAGCGCATGAACCTAGAGTAGGAATGGTCGGTAGCGAGTCAGATATGCGGAGCAAGACGGTGGAGTGTTTATTGTAAGTCTCCCCCGATCTGGTGTTTTATTTTTTGCATTGTATGGAACAGCGACGAAATCTTTCACACAATTTACGGACTACCTTGTCCTCTGCCATCCTCCCAAAAACCTAGCGTGATACCATTAAGGCCTGACGTTTGCAACAAGCTCTTTTCAATATTGCGGTCGGATAATGAATCATTGAATTATTAAATCCTCATATATATAGATATATATTGTATTCTTCTCTTGAATTTTTATGAATAATAATTTATTGTGAAACCATATTTCAGCTGGATGAGGATGCTTGTATCATGAACTTCTAGGGGGTAGAATGAAGTCACATACAACAAGTATGAGCTCAAAGAGATTAACAAGGTACGGTGGCATAGAAGTAGATTCCCCGTTTTGCCCATTCACTTCTCCGCCTCTGCAAGGGGACACCGGTGTAGGGATTCGGTACTATTAGACCAACATTTAACTAAAATATCCAATGCGCCACCAGATCATCAACCTACCTCGGAGCAGGTATGAAAGAAAGCACCTAACCATTATAAAAGCACTGGAAAGCGTTCAGACGAGGGAAACATGAATGCTCCGAAGTGGGGATGTAAGGACTCGAATGACCCCGCGGGCTCGTACCCCACGGCCCGGCCGGACCGGCGTGACCAGTTGGGGAAGGATAGAACAGGACAGGGACATGACAGAAACGTTAAGGAGCGGACAGGACAGAAGCGTCGATGGACGAAGATCGAGGGGGCCAAATTAAGCAGATGCAGGCCTCCGATCGGTCCCAGTCCGAGCGCCGTGCCGAGGTCCGGTCAAAAAGCGAGACGGACCGACGGAATTCGCGGAAAGGAGAGGAGAGGAACAGAGAAAGGGACGCTTCCGCTAGACCCTCCCGTAGAGCGAGACCTCTGCCCGACGGGGCCCCCAACCCGCGCAGGGTCTGTGTCTGTCTGTCTGTCTGTCCGTCCGTCCTTGCCTCGACCTCGTAGTCTTTAATGCTGCCGCGCCGCTGGTCCGGTCAGGGAACGGACTCCGGGAGGAACAAGAGCATCATGAGCTGACGACGCATTATCGTCCGCCGTTCCTTGTTTCATGCTCCGTCCGTTTCTCTTTCTCAGTGTGTCAGATGCCGCCTTCTGAAGCTTTCTCCGATCTTCCGACGGGCGGGCGGACGGACGGAGGGAGGGAGGGACGAAAGCCGACAACTTTTTTAGGCAGGAACCTGACAAACAAAGCTGCGAGCAGCGATGGGATGTCATGTCAGATGTTGTGGTAGCTCCTCATTCCGGACCTCCCCGACGCTCGCAGAAACCCCCCCCCTTTCTCGAGGAGGAGGATGTGAACGCACTAGTGTCAGGATTGATTGAGCGAGTGACAGTTTGTGTAGTAGGGAGAGGCAGCAGCGAGAGGTAGATAGAAATTGCCAGGAGGAGGAGGAGGAGGAGGCCGATTCGTGAGTGTGTGAAGTTGCAGAAGCTCGGCCTTTAGAGTGCGTGTTGTTCGTTGTTCCGGTCGGTCTGCTGTGGGGCTCAGATTTGGGCGAACACCGTGAGGAGCAGAGGAAGCTGTGGGAGAGAGGGTTGCAAGACCAGAGAGAGAGAGAGAGAGAGAGAGAGAGAGAGAGAAAACGGGGAGTGTCATCATCGTCATCATCGCCACACGAGACAGAAGGCGAGTACGTCCCGCAAGTGCCGAGGGAGGTGGCAGGAAGGCAGGAAGGCAGGAACGAAGGAACACGGCTCTCATCGAGTGCAGTCCGGGCAGGCAGGCAGAGAGTGGTTTCATAAGAGCAGGTTTGTGGAGTGGAGTGGAGTGGAGTGGAGGGACATACTTACTGTAAGAAATTGGTTCCCAATTCTAGCTCTAGTCTGGACACGGGGAGGAGGCGAGATTTTTCTAGCGTCCGTGCGCAGGAACACGAAACGAGACCGGCCAGGGCCTGGGCGAGGAAAGGCAGAAGAGGGCCGGTGAGTGGTGAGTGGAGGTTGGTACTGGGGTACGATCCTCGAAGGACAGAGCGCAGGTGACAGCCAGGGGTTGCCGAGTTTCAGTTTCAGCGGTCGGGAGAAGCGAGTAGGGCTTGGAGGATTGTCTGGAGATCGATTGTACGAAGGGTGACGGAATTGGAGTGGGCAGCACGTGGATCCTGGGATTCGGACACTCTTTGCACTGAAGGCCATCCGGGTGACAGAGAGAGGGGGAGTGCGTGAGTGAGCGAGTGAGGCAGCCTGTCTACTTCGTCGTTGTTGCGGGAGGAGGAGGAGGGGATGAATCCGGACCTCGTGCTGCAAGGAATTGCATGATCAGACTATGCTGTTCGCTGATGGATTGTGCGGAAAAGCAATTGCAGCGCACGCGGTAGTGGGAGGTCGAGGAGGAGGCGGTGGGAGCGAGGGAGGATCAGAACATCGTGGTGTCGGAAAGGAGGACCTTGGAGAGCAATCGAGGCGGGCGCTGAGCCCTCGAGCGAGCCGAGCCTTGGAGTGGGGGGCGCGCGCGCGGAGGGTCGACCCGAAGCAGCTCGAGCTTTTCAGATGTGAATTATGTACAGGCTGATACTATGCCATCCATGCGAGCTTTCCTACGCCGCACTATGTGCTTAGTCAAGCGCAAGCCCAGCGCCAGAGACGCGGACTCCAAGCATGGCTCCAACCGCGAGGTCCGAGGCTTCTCCGCGCGCAGCACCAGCAAGGTCACGCAGCACGACAGCAGCAGCTCGGCCGAGTTCACGGGCGGCAGCGGCTTCACTCCGAGCCACTCGCACTCGCGCGAGTCGCAGAACTCCACCGGCAGCGCCGCCTCCAAATCCTCGCTCGCCACGCTCAAGGAAGTGGTGGGCGAGGGCGTGCACATCTTCCAGTACAAGGAGCTGCGCCGCGCCACCGAGGGCTTCAGCTCGCGCCGCAAAATCGGCAACAGCGTCTACCGCGGGACGGTGCGCGGCGTCGAGGTCGCCATCACTCGGCACAAGAAGGCCGAGATGTTCACGGACCTCGTCTCCGAGGTCAAGAGCCTGTGCAGCATTCACCACTCGAATGTCGTGTCGATGATCGGCGCCGCCGCTCCGGCCGAGGACGAGCATGTGTACGCCGTGTACGAGTTCATGGAGGGCGGCGCCAAGCTGCGCGACTGCCTCCGCAACCCTCACAGCCCGGGCTACTCCGTCCTGGGGACATGGATTCAGCGGCTGCAGGTTGCTCTGGACGTGGCCCGGGGCTTGGAGTATCTCCACAACAGCACTCAGAAATCGTTGATCCACAAGTACGTGAAAAGCAACAACATTTTGGTCGATGGCACGTCGCTGCGAGCCAAGATTGCAAACTTCGGGGTGGCTCACTTGGCCGGCGAGTTCGCCCTGGCCGAGGAGCAGGAGCAGCACTCGCAGCAGCTGCTCAAGGACCAGGAGAACGAGACGCTGGCTGCTCTGCGCATTTGCGGTGGGATCGATACGGAAATTATTGAGATCATCGAGGACGAGCCTCTGAAGCCTCGCGTGCCCTCCACGCCCTCCACTCCGTCCACGCCCGGGCGACCGAGGCTGAGCCGCTCGCGCAGCAGGAAGCTGACGGGCACGCGGGGCTACATGGCCCCCGAGTACATCTCGAAAGGCGCCGTCACGACCAAAACCGATGTTTTTGCCTATGGCGTGGTGCTGCTGGAGATCCTGTCGGGGCAGGAACCCATCACCTTTAAACCCGACCCGTCCAGCGGCCTGAACGTGGTGAAGAGAATCACTCTCCATGAAACCATACAGGCCATTTTCTTAGACCCGGAGCCCAAAGCCAAACTGCGCCTGTGGATTGACCCCCTGCTCAAGGACTTGTTCCCTCTGGAACACGCCCTCAAGGCCGCTCGCCTGGCCAAATCCTGCGTGCAGGCCAACCCCGTGGAACGGCCTGAAATGAGGACGGTGACTTTGGAGCTGTCGAAAATCATGATGTCGTCCGAGAGATGGGTGGAGGGAATGATGGCTAGCAAGAATTTGATGAGCCGGACCATGGAGGCCAGGTGATGGAGCTCAGGCCAGGATTGCAGGCCCCTTCCGGCTAGGCAAGCAGCTAGTCAGCTACTTTTTATGAACGCACATTAGATTAATTAGCTCTGAACCGATTGATTGAACCAGTTTTGTCACTTTTGGGCATGGCGGATTTGGGTATGCAGCAAGCGAAGAGCCCTTGAGCACCCCCCTGGAAGCGAACGGATTGTGATTTTGTTGTAGCAAGGTAGAGTATAGGTAGATAAGCAGAAAGGGGGGAATCAGATACAGGCAACGAAATAGAGAAGGGCCCGACAGCCTGCCGAGGAGGGTATGGGAGTGAGAGGAGCAGGCAGAGAGGAGAACTGGACAGAACCCCCAAACAGGAAACATCAAAGATTCATACATCATTCACTTGTAAAGAAGAGCAGACAAGACGAGATAGATCCAGGTGAGTTCTTCATGCCTCTGCCCGAAGGAAAAGAGGGAGGATGGTCGTCACGACTTCAGTACCAACTCATCAGCAAACCAAGCGCTTATTCGACCTAGGTTCAGGAAGAGGAACCTCAGAGCTGTATATAGGTAAAATAGATTGTTAACCGGCAGGCAAATTTTTCACTGTCGGGAGGTTTCAAGGCGTAGATGCTCAGTCCTAATCAACCATTCATATTGTATATACACTACTTAGGCCTTGCGTACAGCCCACCAATTCGTTTCCTCTGGGTTTGTTTCTTCGGTATAAAATCATGGAAGTAAAGGTTTCAGTATCTTGGATTGTTTGCATTACTAGTTCTCCTACTCTATACATTGGCTCTTGCTTTGGGTCCCCCAGATCTGTTGGATTCCACTGGAGTTTTGAATCGTGTTTCTTCATGCTCTTCATTCAGTTGCAAGGCCATCATGAGCTGTTGTGTATTGCGTGTCTCCATTTCTATGTAATATCTGTCTTTCACACTCTTTCAGGAATGACATTACCCACCCCATGGTTCTCTCTCTACCTGAGTATTACAACTGGGTCTTGCTTTGCACCAATGATGGGCGCCTGGAGTTATATCCGTTCATCTTCTAATAAGAACGGAGGTTGTCACCGTTCAGTACTGCACTTATCATGCGAGAGTTTTCGCGTCCTCAAATTGCCTTCAAAAATGGGTTTCATTTGTCCAGAATAGAGAAGTATTTGGCTCAATGAGGCACCTTGAGTGAATCTTGGGTTATACAAATGACCTCAGGAGATTGTAAGTGGATCATTCCACAGCACTTTTAAGTTGGATTGGTCGTCGTTAGAAATTAGAAATTCATGCTTGTGGATGGGGTATATATTTCTGACTCCTTTGTCCGTTAGCTGTTCGAGGTTCCTTACCTGCTGACTTACAGTTGAAATCTGCTTTTTCTTATCTATCGAGTAATCCGGTTGTAAACGACTTATGCCTTCTCCTAACGTGCTATCCAATATCGTACATGGTTCCTTTCTTCCATTCCAGTATCAATGGAGCCACTTTCTTGAAAACACTAGGTAACGAAACTCCATGACCATATGCCATACGTTGTTTGCAGGAACCTGGTCAGTAACTTAGGCGACATTGATAAAGATTCGAAGAAAGCTTCTTTTGTTGGAGCAACTCGTCTTGCCGATTCACAACCGTACCTGGAATGTCCGGTTGTGAATTTCATTTCGGTGCTCATAGTGAACGTTACACGGGATGTACGCCACTATTAGATTTCACTGGAGTTAGGCCATGAACTTGCCACATCTTTCACTGCATAAGAAAAACATGCGAAGCTATATCTTCTCTGGGTTTTGTCGTGAATCTGGTGGTTAGAAACGTCTTAGGAAGTTGGACAATGAGTCTAAGAGCCCACAGATTGTGCATTTCGTTGGTCTTGCGAATTGCAAATCACCGGGATGGCTAATTGAAGTTGGGAGTCAGTGGTGAAGAAGTTCTGCAGATGGTCAAGAAATCGCACCTGCAGTTGAACATTCTTCCAAAACTCTTCATGGACTTCGGCTTCAGCTGGAGCATTAAGACATATTTCGCCATGGCCAGACTTGACTTGGCCAGTTTTGTTGTTGCAATAGCAACAAAAGCTTGGAAGATGGGTTCAACAGGACACTGGCAGACACAATGTGCATACCAGAACTTGGGACACTGGATAAGGAGGCAATTATGTTCAGAAGACGACTACAGACAGTCAATACCAGTTGAGACTGCCTTGGGTAAGGAGACTGCGCAGGATTTACTCTTTTCATGATGCATTAGTTGCCAATTTTGAAGATACAACTATCCTCAGACACCGGAAAGACTCGCATGCTTCGCGAGCGCTGACAGCATTAAGCGCCAAGCTTCACTTACCCTGGGCATGGGATAAGCACAACAGCAGTGGGGAGAAATTGTACAGCCCGTGTGAATCTTTTTCATTGATGCGCCGGAAGAATACACCAGAGTCTGCAGATATTCCGGTGCACCACAATCCGAGTCTCCTCGCAAACAGGAGGGCTTTGACAACCTCTGAATGAATGAAGAGGCGATCAGATTCAAATGAGCTACAGTGAGGTGATGTGCCCAGAAAACCCTACAGAGCTCTTTTGGGGCCCTGGGTTCATCCTCTCCAGCCCTGCCCACAGCAGAGCTACGTGCCATGCTGACCAAACCCAAACACATGATTCTTGTTTTCACTGGTCTTCCGGAGGATAAGGTCGAGGAATATACTGACAACAGATCCTGAGGTGGAAGAAATCGAGAACGATAAAGAGACTCCAGGAAATCCACCAGCAGTAACAAAGAAATAAATGTTTACATTTGGACGGTCACACTAATGCTGAGGGGCTCAAGAGCACTCAGAGCTCTTTCATTGGGCGCCCGAATTACGGACCTCGATTCAGCTCCTGAGGAAACAATTCCTCTCACTGACATTGTGATCCCCCAGAGAGAGTGTGATTGCGCACTGTCCATGATACGCTCTGGAGGGCGATGAACAAGATCTAGACTCTCGCAACCGACTGCGCGAGTCCCGGATGATCGACTTGAGAATTGACCATCTCATTCTGCTCGCATCCAGTCTCAGCTGGAGCTGCTTCAGTGCCGGGGCGGAGCATGGTTTGCATCAGTCAACAGCAGAATAAGTTTCGTCAACAGAAGTGGCTAATGGACAGGAGATCGTGATAACTCTGGATCCAGGGCTCGAACGGACGGCAATAAGCAGGAGATAAAACTTTACGTCTGGACGACAATTCCAATTGACCATTGTCTCGAGTCAGCTGAAGAGTGAAGAAGCTCAACATAGGAAGGAGCCCATGGGGTTACCTGGGCCATCTTGTAGTCCGGGATCGGAAACCCCGATTTTGTTTTGCCCTCCTCGATGTTTGTCGTGATCGCACTGCATTGCTTATAGGACAAAAGGAGTTGTGTGAGCATGGGGTTTTCCGGCCGACGGTTTTTGACTCAGAGATTTCAGCGAATGCGCAGCGAGAGTCAAATGTTGGGATCTACGCTCGTAAAGTGCTTATAGTGAACTTATAGTGAACCTACTCATTCGAACGTTTCAGAAACCAGACTAGGTGCCAGACAATTCGTGAATCTTGGCACGGCTCGGATCAGGTAATACCCAAACTCCATCCCGGTGCTTCCTGTCCGACCATCGTAGAGAAGAATCTGTCCTCTGCAGGCAGCCCAACCCCAATCCCTCTGCCACTCTCCCACTCTCCCTCCCTCGTCCTCTTCTCCTTCGTGGTCAAAGAGTTGCGATCTCCTCCTTTGGGGCTACAGCTCTCGAGTGGTGAACGGCCCAGAACGTCCAGCACGCCACGGAATCGTTATTTATCCTTCGAGTTGCCCTGATGTACTGATGCTCCGAACGCAGATGCCCAGGTCTATCAATTTGGTCTATCGGATTTCCTTCGTCGTACCTTCTCCAGAGATGGTGCTGCTCCTTTTCATGGTGGTCCCCAATCTGAGCTCCTGCCCTAGTTAAAGGAGATGTTCCACTGTTTCGTCAGCATTACTCACAACGCGGGTCTTGCGGATGGCTTAGGATCTACGCTCTCGTCTCTTTCGTAAGACTTGGGTGAGCGTGGTGATCCCTGTGACGCTCGAATGCCCGCCCGATCAATTATTAATTCAACACTTCCAACGACACTTGAATGGGCTCAGAAACAAGGGCCAAAAGTGGAGTCAAGTCAATGGGTACGATCGATCCTTCTCCTCAAGGCAGAAAGTCTAGGTCTGTCCCGTCAACCTGCAGAAGATATTTCTCTTGTACACCTGACCTAATGTCTCGGAACCTAAAAGATGACATTTTCTGATTTCCAACCCATAGACAAGAGTAGGCTCCTAACGTGGCCTGGCTCTTGATCGTGCTGTGCTGTCTTGTTACTTGAACTGGGCAGGACAGATTGTTGGAATGCCAGGAGAGTCTTGAGATGACAGCCCGGCCAACTGTCGATATGAGTTCTGCGATCCACACCCCACATGTATCACCATTATAACCTCGCCGCATAGAAGCTAGAACTCCAGGAATCCAGTATTTGGCTTCTGTCATGTCTAGAATCATGGCTACAGTTTTACTGCTTGATCATGGGGTGAAATCTGTATTGTCCTCGTACAGCAATCGAATGTACGGGGAAGTGAGTCATGTCATTTCAACTCTACTCAAGAACGTACAACGAAAGGAGGCCCTTCTTGAGACGACAGACAGATCGAGGGCAGAAGGCGATGAGATCTGGTAATATCCTAATCGAGACTCGGGACCTGTATGCTTAGAAGGTGGTAAAGGGAAATGACGGTACAAGTACTGTGTCCTTGCAATAACACTGGCTTCGTGGAAGTGATCACTTTGATCACACGCCAACGCTTTTGGGTCGATACAGGTCGGGTTGTTTCAACTCCAGACTCCAGAGCAGGAGGATCCGGTAAGTGGGCAGTATTTACGTGGGTCTACATTTGGACGCATCAATAAACCTGGTTAGATGGTTGTCTGCTAGATGTTGGTTCCTGAACGCCCCACAGGTTCCCAATCTGTTCCGTATAGCCTGACATTCCTCTTCTGACCAGAATAAACCGACTTTGTGTGCATATGCACACTACTTCCAAGGGGGATTTTCCTCTAGGTGTAATGATTGCATCCACGTGATGTGCCTGAGAGTGTTCAAGTGCAGCACTCAAACTCATCTGTTCACGCATTCAACTTTTGAGTCACTTGACCAAAGTCACAGTTCAGTAATAGCACTAGCATCAGCCCTGTTGAATATGAATGGCTCTGTCCAATATGCACTCGATATATACTGAAATTTAACAACGAACCACGAGACTGTCGAATGCACATTCGCATGAGATTCTACAACTATCGAACGTAGAGAAGAAGAAACATTTTCTCTGTTAGACTCATTTCACAAAATGGTCAGATTTTCGACTCTGGATCGAGGAAGGTTTGGAATCTCGTTTATTTCGTTGAGCAAAGACCATTGTTTCCAGCAAGGATACAGTAAAAATTGGTTCCAAGTTCATATTTCAACGAAACAAAGCCTTGCATCAGGAGCATGACATAAAACACTCGAAACATACACACCCGAGGGTGAGGTCGAGCTACGATCTGTACACATTGAAATATCTACGGGCACTACAAAAGGCGAAGGCCGCCAGCCAACTAGTCATACACTTTCCAAAGCAGCTCAGGAGTCTCAAGCATCAATACAAATTCCCCTGGGGCAAGACTCTCCGCCAGTAAACGTTGTGTCAGCTTGGTTGCGTAGCTCTGCACTACTCAGATTCTGTACACTTCTGTCACTCAATTCCAAATCAAGAGGTTTCCTCCCTGCTGCTGCGTCCCAAATGTTCACGGGAAGAAAAACTTCCAACCTTAAGTCACCTTGGTTTTCTTGAATGCTGATGAGGAATGACCGGCCACCTTGGCTCCGATTCTGGAGAAGAGGTACAGTATGAGCAGAGAAACTATGGAGACCAGAATATACCCTTGTGGTTGAGGCATCGTGTTTAAGAACGGATATGGGTAGATCTGTCATGAAGAAACAAATCACAATCAGAAATGGACAGCGCGTCTTAACAACGAAAGTCTTTGATCTCCCGTACATACACGAAAATTCTAGTTTGTTGTGATCTCAACCTACTTACTTCAAATCATCAAATTTGCCACAGTAAATCGGAGGAGCATCTATTCCTATGTTATAAGTTTTCACAACTACGGCTGTCATCGGGGATGACAGCTGCATCAAAAACCATGATTCAGTTCTTATGCAGAACAGTGCAGATTTGCATCAGATCTATATTACTGGAAGCAATTCTTAAACATCAACAGAGAGCTGAATTGGACAACCTTCATTTCTTCAACTACTCGTATGGTTTACAAACTACGAATTTTATTCCTTTGAAACTTGTATTCAAGAAGATACGCTTGATTTAAGATGAACTGTCTTCTTCTGGATTCAGAGAAGACGGCTCTCAAGAAAATGTGGATGTTGTTTAAGCATAGTATCCGCAACAAACTATTGGGTGTCAGTAGTCTCGTGAGAAAATTAGATCTAAAACTGTGATAGCGATTTTATGACTGATGACGGTGTACTGAAAATTGATACCACGGTAGTAACATCGATGAAAGCTGAAGCAGAATAAGAGAGTGCAGATGGAACTAACTTCCGCCGACTAAGATGGCGAAAGTAAGAACTGACAGGGTTCTCGGGGTGGCCTATTCTGTCTAGTGTATTTGTCTTTGAGTGCTAACTGCATATTCATTATCAGAAGTGACAATAGATATGAGATGAAGCCAATTGATATCCTTTGATCTGAGATCAAAATTTATCTGCATCGCACACAGTAATAACACGGAGTGAACGCAAATCTGAACGGGTCTTATTTTAGACGCTTGGAGACGATAGAATAATTAGATTGAGATATAAACAGCACGTCAAGAGATCAGCAACTAGATAAAAAGGTCGGGGCCAAATTCCGTAGCTTGAACGAGGAATTTCAGCGAGAAATCAAGCTTGCGAAGGGTTCACGAAACTTGTAGATTACTCTGCAAGCCAACTTGCTTGCAGAGATCAAAATTACTTCGGAAAAATTCCTACGAAGCTGAGTCATAAAAGATCCAGGATATACCTTCAGCATGTCTGTCAGGAACTTTTCTACATTCTAAACACAAGATTCGATTCTATTGAAGTTTTGAATGCGTTCAATACAAACCTATGTACTGGTAGATGAGGTTGGGATCAAGTCTGCTAGCATTTGTGCATCTTCTTCACTAGAACTGAACTTTGTTTTGTCGTTCTAATATGTTAAACTGGTCTGTAACTACTTGAGGATCTCCAACTTCTCTCTGTAATTGACTGTGAAACTGACTGGAGGAAGTATCATGATATATTAGAATGGTTTCAAGTGAGTTACTTTTGGTGTACCTCGATCTACGCTCAATTCCTACGTACACTCATTTTTTTCTTCGTTGATCAGATTGTTATGAGTTCTCTAAACATCACAATTGTAGGTCAGAAAGAGATCCCACACCTTGTTGATCGAAGTGGCGTATTGCGACCAGCAAATGTAGCCAACAGCGAAGGCGAAAGATAGAAAAAATGCTCGTGTTCTGCAACATAGAAAGTAAGATAATCATTTGATAAATATAAACATGTGGCTATGAATCTGAAAGGAAAGCCGCGTTGAACGCTTCAGTGAAAGGAGATACAATAAATTAAGTCCATCGAGGGGCAAACAGGAAGGATCAAGGATCAAGCCTTGTGAAGTCACACGTGCACAGTTTATGGCATCGATACTTGGAGAAAACCAGTTCTCATGGAGTGAGTTTGCCTAATAATTGATTTTGCTAGTCTCTCTCCGCGAAATTGTCAGAAAAGGGGCAAACCTGAATGTACGCTCGGAAATGCTAATATCGACCCACGCTATAATAGAATTGAATAAGTGTACTGTCAGGTTTATGTACCATGGAGCACTACTTTGCCTGCAATGACAGTAAAGCAGTGAGTAGCTTGACGCATGTTATCAGATCTTTTGTAGCTCAGAAGCATCTATTTACACAAGCAATTTGTGATGACTCAGGGTGATGTGTAAACCTGGTGTAGCACTGAAAAAGTAACGAGTACAAAAGAGCTACTTGATATCTAGTCTAGAGATCTATCATTGTGAGATGAGGATGAATAATGTAGAGTGAAAAGAACAAAAATTCACAGAAAAAATTGACTTTTTGCTAAGTTTTCAAGCGGCACAATTCGATCAGGAACCCAGGTGACTGTTACTTACAAACCATGCGTAACAGTTCTGCGAATATTTCCGTCAATCTCTTCTTCAACAGGCTTCATGGTGAGGATAAGTATACCCCAGTACAGAATACTAATAGCATTTGCGATAGGAAAGACTGTGCATGATAGATCATCGGCAACAATCTTCAATCTTTCATTCTGCAAACCAATATAATGTGAGTGCAAGAACTGCACGAAGATAAGCAAACATTAAAAAATACAAAGTTGTAGCAATCTTGTAAAAAAACTAGTGAATAAGTCCTCAACATGGATGTTACTTGCATATGACAAACACCTCACTAACTCATGTTCATCTTTACATATATTGTGAAGAACAGCTTAACCTACCTTTGGAATGAGGTGGCTAAGAACAACAACAGAGAGGGTCAGCAATTGAAAATTAAACCCGCAGAAGGTCAAGAACTGCAAGGACACCAGCCAACAAACTGTTAGAATATATCAATACCAAAAAAATTTGAAATGAAACTTTCAAACACGTTGAAAGATACATTATACTGGAAGAATGTTGCAAGACATAAATTGCAAATTCTAATGTTGCAAGACGTAAACTTGAAACAATTTAATTGGCACCTTATAAAACCATCCAAACCCTCCCGATTGTGGAAGTTTTGCAGCATCAGGACCCCAATGCCATGAGAAGACGAATGCAAACCTTCAATTTACAACAAAAGATAAATATTTTGGTAAGTCCACATCTCCATGTTTAGTATTTGGTTTGTGTTAGAAGTGTTAGTTACTACCCACTTCTTGGACCTCCGTACACTCACGTTCTTTGACATATGTACTTTGTACTATAGTCGTGGTCGTGACACTTAGTCACGACCAGCCGCTGTCCATTAGGGTTTTCTGTATCTCTCAGATGACCACTGTCACAGTTGGGTATATATCCCCCATCCGGGTTCTCTCCCCATGAACAAAGATATTCTCTCCAAGACTCAGTACCTGTGTCTCGACTCTTTCTTGCATTGCCTCACTTCTGATATGGTATCAGAGCGATAGGGTTTAGAGTTCAGAGTTCGAAGACTTTCGAAGATTCACTTCGGCAGAACGTGAAGCTCAGAACAGAGTATAGTTCGAGTTCAGGAAGATGACTTCTCCAGGGGTTTCAACCCGAATCGCATGGAAAGACCTCCCCAGATTCAGTGGGGAGCATTTCCATGCCTGGAAGAGCAAGATCAGTTTAATCCTTCAACTGGAAGGACTGATGGGCATCATGGAAGGGACCGAAGTTCGGCCAAGCACTCCACCGGGTTCTACAACAAGAACTCCAGAGTCAGGCGCAGGGCGCAAGCAAGAATGGGATGTTAAAAATCTCATGGCCTTGGCGGTGTTGAGTAACAAGTTTCTCCTTGATCTTCGTGAGGAGACGCAATGAATTGCTTGCCAGTATACACTCGTCCACATACATTGCTAAATACACAGATGCATTCTCCTGAAAGTGAACGTAAACATTCTGATCTGCATTAGCCCTGGTAAAGGCAATCTGCAGTAAGAACGAGTCAATCCTCTGTTACCACTGTCAACTAATACACGAGTTACTCAACACCGCCAAGGCCATGAGATTTTTAACATCCCATTCTTGCTTGCTCCCTGCGCCTGTCAGAAGGACAAAATCCAGAGTGAAATTGGAGGTGTTAATAAGGACAACCTCCAGAGTTTTGCGACAACTCTGGAGGTTGTCACAAGACATACAGAAGAACTTACGTCCTATTCAATATACAGAAGCATGACGCTGAAACATTGTACTAATAAAATATCCGTTATAAAACATTCGCCTGCTTAGATGGTCATCTCTCTTAACATTTCAGCATTTGATAAATAGTTCGAACTGTCAGCTTGAGAACGAATCATTTTTGTGAATATCAGTTATGACCCTTCATTTCTATATGACTATGAGCAATAACAAATGTGCAGACACTTGGTAATACTCTGGCGCTATTAAACTACAGAATCTCTATGACAAAAAGTTTCTATGACTGAGAAAGCTACACTCTAAGGTCACAAGCAATAGCAACATACAGGTTTAGAGTAGTCAATCTTTCACCTATTGTCTTTTTTTTCTCCATTCAACAGTTTGGAATCAAAACTGTTTGAAGGAGGAAGGACAATGGCTGAAGGACAGGAGCTAGCTTCTGACCTTTACAAAGTATGTGTAGTAGGCTTTATAGAATTTTCAAACCAAACACCATCTAACAGACCTGGCAATCAAATGAAAAGAGAGAAATTACTAGAGTTAGAGGTCTTGAGATTTTTAATAATACATTTTTGTCAATCTATGATTAGTCAAGAATGCAAGATGTAATCCGGAATTCATCGATCTATTTTTTGCTTGATTTGACGCAGCTTCAGAGACCGACCATGAACAGAAAGTGACCTTTGGTGGGAACATTTAGATGAGAGTGAAGAAATGCAATGCATAGATGAGTAACTCACAAACCCAACAAACTACAATCGTGAAACCATTTAAATTCATGCCTACTGGGGTGAAATAGGCAATAACAATATCAACAGCTATTCATTTTGTCTGGAATTTCATCTTCAAATCACACAGAATTTTAATAAACAATAGGAGGTTTCCTCTCTTTCCACTGTCAAATTCGAAACCCATAAAGTTACAGCTCAAGAGCAATTTGGGATCCATGAGGATTATCCAACACAGAGATGAAACTGAAATTCTAAATGTCCAGAAGCCAAAAAATTTGAATCCAGGTGAGTTGTTTGATGACGTTCCTTTAAATCAGGTCTAGGTCTGGTGGGTACCAATAGCTTCACAGACTTTCGAGGTGAGCTTACAGTCAATATTCGATTCTACGTACACCATAATGTGTATGTCGACTTCGGCAGACAAGTACGAAGATGTGATGAAATTGAGATCCACATCACAAGTTGGCTAGACGAAAGATTCAAATGCTTTATTGTCTGAAACGCATGTATTTAGCTCAACGATGTATTCTTAATTCAGAATATTTAGTAATCATCATCTAGGAGTAAGAGGGAGGGAAGAATGCTGCTTACAGAGCAAAAGAAGCAAGATGAAACAGAAACTGAAGCTTGGAAGAAACAAACGCTTGGCCATCCCTCGTCATTTTAGATCTGTAACATTATCCGTGTCAGACCCAGTGGATTAGTGGAAATTTCCCATCGACTCAGCTCCAATTCGTTTCAAGGCCAATCCACATTCAGAGGGTAGATCAGAATGAAGGTTGTACAGACATCAGCTTCGCACGGAGATGGAAAACAGAAGTACGAAAATTGCGACGAGAGCTCTCACCAACACGATGGACACCTAAAGATGAGAAGAAAAATAAAATGCTACATAGTGTCACTCTGCTCCCCTCCTGTCCACTTCAAACTACTGATCTCGACTCCAACAGTCAGGCGACAGAAGAATCGATACGCGCAGAATCAAGAAATAATCGTAAACTAGAAAATGGAAAGCGATCATAGAATACTTGCTTTATGATAAAAGAAAATGGTGGAATCTTTTATAGAATACGTAAGGCAGTCGTGGTCCATGTTTGACTCATTGCCACGAACGTCCGCACCACCAGTTTCTATGTCCAGTGTTGCGCAGGAGAATTGTTTCCACCTCTTTTTTTATTGATGCCGAGAGGACGACAAATCCAGACACTGGTATTGTAGTCATCGTGTCCACGTGTTGGCTGTGCAACGACACTCTGAGGTACCTATTCCTTCATGGGTAGGAGTCATCCAGATTCCTTCCAGCGTCCAGCTAAAGATACTTGCATGCTTGGCCTTCGGCGCCTTCGCCGCCAGTTGTGCATCTCCGCACCCCTTCATCCTCTGTTGCTGAACTTTGATCTGGCTGCGCACTGGCCTCAGACTTCACTTCCGACGTGGCACACAATTCAAGACTACTGCTCGATTTCGCTTCGCCTTTCCGTCTCTTCATGTTCAGCCTGCAAACAATATCCAAGTCTGAATAATTAATGTATAATAACGTATAGTTATGCATACTCAATTTAGCTTATAATATATATTGTAAGAAAAATATGATAGAATAAAAATTTATATGATATTTTTTATATAATACATATAATAATATAGATAATTTAATGTAAATACTTAGCAATTCACTTGGGTGTTGTCTGCAGGTGTTACATGAATGTTTTTCGCACTTGGGCCAAGTGTGAAAATGAATCATGTAACTTCTGAGTCACAATCATAAGTTAGAGGCTCCTAAAGTTCTAGATTCGGAGTAAGTCCTTGCTTTGGGTGAACTTTCCTTTGGGAACTGGCTACATCCATCAACTCGAAATTATTCATGCTGTCAGTTTTAAGATCACTAGCAAGGCTGCTCACATTCTAGGGTTCGATTAGGACCTTACAAACTTTGTTTGGATTATTCTGTGAAAGATGAACAGATTTCCAAACACATGATGAGTTCCAAATTGTAACACTTCCACCATGGCCTTCAAATCACAGAAAAACCAAGCCACTTCATGCATAATTAAATAATAACATGATGACACCAAGATTTTATCATTTCTGTCGAGCTTCATCTTGGTCTTACTGCCAATTTACAAGCACAATAATTGTACTGCAACCTCTACCTACTATCCATGTCGGCCTAAGTACGAAATTGTCCAAAGCATATATCAAAAGTTGAACATTTTTTAGAATGATGACCTATGTAGAATGTGTGTGTTCACTATAGTTTTGTTTTTAGAAATCAAAATGAGGACAGTAGATTGTCTGCATGCTTATGTATGGCATCTGTTTTTTTCCCGATTATTATGTATAGATACCTAAATGGAAACTGTTTGTGAACATTTTACATTCATGAATGTTTGTTATAAGCTTTTTGGATCCAAGTTTCATAGTATTGTAGAGTTGAAGTTGTAAAAGAAGTGGAGGAGTGAGAATAGTATACTTTACAGTACTGATAGTCACTGACATCGAAAACCAAATTTCTTTTCAAAGACCTAAACTATAGTGAAATGGAAAGAGTACATTACTTCAACTCTATTGAAGGATTGGTAAAAGAAATGAGAGGCCAGTTTCCAGTCATAAGGTTACTAGGTGAATCTTCCTTATGTACGCTACACGACCAAGTTAATTAATAGATATAGCTCATTCATAATTCCCTTTAAATGTGGTGAAGAATATCGTGATTGAATAGAGTACGAACAACAAATTTACACAAGATATCCTTAAAATTTCATATTTTGCACAATCTAATTTAATCTGCATTTGTTTATCTTGAAACACCATGCCATCTCCTGATATAAAATCCTTGTTCTTGAATCAAAGTATAACGATGCATCAGCTTTTTAACTCTATGAATACTTATTATAAATAACCATTAGGAATTTTGAAGATAGACTTGTCATTATTGGACGCAAATGTTCACCGTACCTAGATCCAAATAGTTTGTAAGCAAAAAATTGCACATGTAGATAGTAAATATTTTATTTTTTGCTTTAAAAATCAAGTTTTTTTTAATACAGTCCATTGCGATGTCATTGGAGCAAGACGTATTCTATCCTATTATGTCATCTGCACTATTTGACGTAGTCTTACCATCCTTGTTACTAAATTATCCACTCTATGTTGATTGTGTCTCATTAGTTTACTCTGTCAATAGGGATAATTGTGGAAGTACAGTTGGCCACATTCGAACACAATGACGAAATGACAGAACGGAGGACAAAATTAGTCTCACGGGACCAAATAAAGCTAACAAAAATGGAATGAAAATTAAAATATAAGATGCAGCATGATCGCATTCCGTGCAATGTGCCAATGTACCGTAAACTGGATCCACCCTGAGCAAGCTCTCTAGATGGAATTGTTTGCTTACGAAATCTTCGTAAACATTGCTCTTCGTGAAACTTACAAGAAATTTTGCTCTGTTCTATACTAATTTTTGTTGTTATTCCGATTTTGATTCACATTATAGTGTATGTGTGAAATTCGTGCATAATGAATTCATGAGCTATATGTAGCTCGCTTTATTTCCACTTCGAATCAAATTGGAACACTTTAATGTGGGGTCCACGTTGATGAAGTGGAGGATGTAGTTAACCCTTGTCCAACTAGGCAGGCTAACTGTGTACAGTCGGAAAGGACGCTGTAGGATGAAGGCGGGCAAGGTTCGGTGGAGACTGAGGGGCGAAAACGTCAGTCATGGGAAAGGGATGGGAATGGGATAATGGGAGCGGATGGGGACCAGGCCACAGATCCAACCGGAGCGGTCTTGGCGCGGCTTTTGCAGCAGCTCCATCTAATGCCGCTGCAGCTGGTCCTGCGACTGGCCAAGGATTGAATGATGGGAGCGACGTTCGTCGTTCGCAATTGCATTTCACATCAATTCTCGGCTCACAGTTCGACTCGATTGCCAGTTTCGATCACTCTCTTGCAGAATCGTGTCCACTTCAAGTCTTTCGGACCTCCGATTGAGCTGCACTCTTTCTTGGCTCCCATGAGTTCTTGTTGCTTAACGCTCTGTTCGGTTTCTTTCGATTCCGGGTTCGCCAAGGCCAGGCTCAGGACGACCCGCGGTGGTGGCGGTGGGGTTCCGTTGCCGAGTGTGGTTGCTTCGCCTCCCCGCTGTCGGAGGTCGTTGAGTTCAAGCTTTGTCACGAAGTTGAGCTTTTCTCCCTGGAAAGAACCACAATCGAATCTCCCGAAGTGGAAGAATATGATTGCTTTTTCGAAAGTTGAATGCACTTCGCAGGCTGGTGGTGCTGAGAAGTCATCCTCATCTTCTTCGTCGGTTTTGCCTGCCGTGGAAGCTAAACCTATGGTAAGCACTCGCGATCAGACATTGGGGGTATTCTGGGAAAATACGAAAATAAGTCTGGAGATATCAATGAGCAGTATTAACTTGAGGCCGAGGCTCGTGTGTTTGTGGCTGAAGACTTTTGCCACCAACGTGAATTCGAAATGTACTTAATATATCTGTTACTGAAAGTATATAGACATTTGGTGATGTTTCCGCACGGCTCATATTTTACACAGCTAAAGAGAATTGGGATTTTATAGTAAGAAAAATTTGCATATGTATAGACGCTTGTGATTGATTCAAGGTCATCTTTTGATTTTTGATTTGATTTTCAGGGGACTGGACTCAGAATTACCTTCTGTCCACGATGTGGTGGTACTACTGAGAAAAAGGTTCCTGATGGAGAGCACGAGCTGCGTGTGGTGTGCACAGTCTGTGGTGCGGTACATTACGAAAACCCGAAAATGGTACTGTTGGTCAGCGTGAAATTTGAATGTTCGCAGATTTTATTCCATTCGAGCATGAATATGTATGTGTACATGAAATTATTTGTGGCATTTAAGGTCAGCTATTACAGAACCTTCACCGTCTGTTATTGAGATTGACAATCCTTTTGAAGTATTAGGTGTTCTTGTGTTTGATCACAGTAGTTGGCAAACTTGCAGGTGGTCGGATGTTTGGTAGAGCATGAAAATCAAATTCTTCTTTGCAAAAGAAGTATCGAGCCTTCCTATGGTCTCTGGTATGATGCTTGCGTCTCTACACGTTTGGTATTTCTAGCCAAATTTGATTATATTTTTTTTTTAACACAAGTATTGTGAATATTAACAATACAATCGGTTTGTTTTCGAACTTATCCACCAATGTGCTGAGAAGATCATGGGGGAAGTTTTGAATGCATGGAATACTATTTGATTTGATGATTTCGAAAAGGATATATTGACTATATGTGATGTATTTCGTCCTGTTCAGGACACTACCAGCTGGCTACATGGAAATCGGAGAATCAGCTGCTGAGGGAGCCGCAAGAGAGACCCGGGAGGAGGCTTGTGCTGAAGTAGAAGTGCTTGGTCTATTTGCTCACCTGGATATTCCAATCATTGGCCAGGTGGTGTATTCAGTCATAATTTCTCTGAGCTACCACAGCATTGATCTTTGAGTTTTCCTTTACAGCTCTTCGCTGTTTTTTTCGATGTAAGAGAGGTTCTAAATCAGATTATCAAGTGCATGTGTATCGCAAGTGATTATGATTCGAGCATACACTTCCGGGTTATTTGCGACTCTTTCGTTAAGTGGCTGAGTGATTTTGAATTTTACAGTGCAGAGCTACATAATATTTCGAGCACAATTGAAGAACCCGCATTTTGCTCCCGGCCCGGAGTCTTTGGAATGTGAACTTTTCAAATTAGATGAATTACCATTCGACAAGCTTGCATTCTCATCCATAGGAGTTGCTCTAAATCTGGTAAGTATCTACATCAACATTGAGACTTCTAATTCATTAGTTCAAAAATTTCGTACTAATTACTTTCATGTCTACGGTGGTGTGTCTCTCCCAGGATCTTAATAAATTTCTAGAATTATAAATATACTAACGTTATACTCCTTAGGGTTTTCCCAACTTACTGGTGAAATCATGACAAGTTGTTACGTACTTTCCTGCAGTACTTGGACGACGTGAAGTCAGGAAGTATGAGAGTACATCATGGAGTTATCGACAAAAGGTATCATGTTTCTCACAGTTGTTTGTATCGTTGTTTGTTTCTACTTTCTTCACAGAATGCTCAAACATTGGGAGTACAAGTGGCCCAATGGTGGGGCTCTTTATCTGGAACTGGGTAAAGAGCCCCACCCCACCATTGGGCTCATTTGCCAATGTAATTTTAAAATTCGTGCCACTGCTTCAAAGTTATCGTTAGTGTAAGCACTTTCAGCGGGAATTGCGAACATAATTTGGCTAACCGTAGTCATGGTCGAAGGTTGAGCCATATGTATATCTTAACCTTTAAACACTCTTATAGAAATAAGAATGTTTCAAGAATGTTTTACTAGTATGTGGGGGACGTTCAAACAGGTTGTCTTGAGGTCCGCATCCCGTCTATGAGAAATGCAGAGCTCACATGAAACTTCTAGGACTTGCCAGCCAGGGCGTTTAACCCAATTGATTCAGATTGGAGTCTGATGAGCTTTCAATTATAATGTCCGCACTTTTGACAATTATTAAAATCTTAACGTAATGGGATACAATAAGAATGATTGTGTCACACACAAAAGTAATGTGCAAACAGTTTCATTTATTGTATAGTGGGGGTTTCTGACGCGAATCGTCGATCAAATTCTAATCGCGATTTTTTATTGCAGACCTGGTGCAGCTTTATCAGATCCCAAAGGATTTGTCATTCGAGATCATCTCTGTAGCTGAGACAGCGCAGATAAAGAAAACAGCTTGGTTTTTGTGGTTTGAGTTCTCAATTGTGTCGAGGTATCTCCTCATCTAGTATAATAGGTACCTTACAGCATAGCCCTATGGAAGCGAAGGGATTGATATGATGAAGGGGCTGAAAAACGTAGAGTGCTTTGCACACTAAAATCAGTGCTTTAAATCTTTACGTTGTAAAGTTTAGGGGCTACTCACTGTCTATGCGAAGAGTCTAGATGTTTGAAGCCGGTCAAAATGAGGATATTTGTAAAAAGCCCGTAAGAGTTGTCTGTATTATTAGAAACACGAAGATGAGTAGACACATATTTTGTTGTCATTTTCGCTCAATGTTCATTGTTGGGTGGAGTTGTCTTTCTTTGTAAGTTGATGCTTGTCAAAGATTAGATCCTTCTTCTCTTAGGTATCCAACTTCTTCCAAACATACCAAATATGACCAAAGGTAACACCCTTTGATCCGCATATGAAGCCTTTTGAATTATACGAGTGTCACTTCTAAGGTCGCTTCTCGTGATCCCAATGAATGAGTTTGGACTCAGCACACCTGAGTCCAAATTTGTTTGACTCAAGTGTATTTTGTTTTGAGTACATATAATAGATCTCTCCATTCTGCAAGTTATAATATTCCACTAGAGGGTAAATATACGAAGCTGAAAAAGCGAAACAATACTAGTCATGAGAGGGTTTACTGAGTTAACTCTTGTAAATTATTTTGTTAGAGGTATGTCACATAGCAGGGATATAATCACAATTCATGTCTAATGCGGTTCATATTGCCGAACAAGCTCGAAATTCAAGGTGTCCCCTTGACACAAAATGTACATAGTTTGAGTACAAGACAACACACATACTAAAATTTTCAAAAATCATGGTTGACAAATCTTACCAAAGAAAAGTTTTTTTGCATTTTGTCCGATGAACTTCCTTGTGATTAAAAACAAGACGCAATATCAATCATTATAGCACTACACCGTAAGATAGGCGACAAAAGTCATTATGCTTTCGTAACTGTACTCGAGTTTATAATTGGAGTATTTTGATTTGTGGAGAATATGCAATAACCAATCGTAAGTCAACACTGAAATTTGATAGATTAAATAATAATTATTATAATGCAATTGTCACACAAGCTTAAAAATTTGTTTCATTATTTCTTGAATAGTTATCAGAATATAATGGTTAATGTAAACTACAGAGTACATCCTCAGCAGTTAATTTCTAAAGATAAAAACGTTGTCGATTAGTAAGATATTATATGATTCAGATTCAATAATTATGAATCATCATCTTATTATAATAGAGACTAGAGTATGTACTACGACTTTTAACCTCACGTGTTGTGACATTCACATTTTCAGAAGTCAAGTAATTAGAAAATTTCTTGTTTTTTATATTATATAAAAACAAAAGTTTCAGCAATAAATAAAAAAATTAAATTACATGCCCAAATTATTTCAATATTACATTAAGTTTATTTTTTATGTTGAAAACAAAAAGCTGACATAATTATTACTTTCAATCATATGTATCAATGATTGTGTCTTAGTAACCACTTTATGTAACTGTAGTCTAGTTAGTATGATTATGGTTACTTATATATATATATATATATATATATGTATGCATGAAAGCTGGTCATAGACATTATGACACCAACTTACGGTTTCAAATAAGTAATTTATATCCTATGAAAAAAAAGTGTTCAAATGAACAACGTGTCTGTTTTCTTAGCTGTTTGTATATTGTTTTTCTATTTTGCTATATGAGTTTCATATTGTAAATTACAAGAATGATCATTGAAACTCATGAATGTTAGAATTAATTGGCTGCCAAAAAGTGCAAATACAACATACTTTTACAATTTTGAGGTTATTTTGGAAAAAGATTGTGCTCATTTTTATGAAAACATATATTTGTTTCAGAATTTGTTCTAGATCAAGATAATATGTTTATATGTCAAATTTGTAAAAAAACCATTTGACATATAATTCTGAATCATTATGATTTATATTATCAAAGAATTACGTTATACTAGCTCCAGTTACTTAGTTGAATAACGCATGAATAAATGCATGGATTATATTCAATTGTGCACTTGATGCATTTCTTTTTTACTTACATTTGCACGAGGAAATTACTTGATGGACCCTGGACAATCTTCCGACCCAGGTTCCTTCATTTATTGGCCTGTCACTTACAGCACCGGTGCAGTCATCGACCATCGCTTGGACATGAGACAAGACGAGATGCAAATGAGGAATTCTACAAAGAGACTTCCTTTCTTTCTTCGTTCCTATCAGATCGGCTTTGTTACTCGAGAGTTTCAGTCACCAACGACCGGCCTTAAAGATGTTTGGCTTTCTAAGTACAATATGCACTCCGTTTCCAAAATCCGACTGAATCAGAAAGCGAAGGGCATCATGAGCCTGAAGTACTCCCAGGACTTCATCTTCCTACCCGAAATAACCCCAGATCTTATTGGAACATCAGTTACGGTTGGCTGCAGGTCAATTTGAACTTGCCCGAGGTCCCATCAATTAATTTCCTCACATTTGCACATATATCATTCAAACTTGATTGCTAAAAAAGAACTCATCACGTCATTTGTGAAGTTTAGATGTTGCCGCGCGACACTAATTTGAGACACATGCAAGGTATGTGCCAAAACCGAAACTTATATGACTATTCTCACAACTTCAATTTCATCAATTATTATTCGATAGAGCATTAGCTATCTCAATCGCATAATAAGCCTAATACCAAGCTAATTATGAACAAGAAACATATTTCCTTTTCGTACTAGAAATGTAAACTTGTAGCAAACCACGACACATCACTTCCAATTTCAACTGCAACTTGAAATACTAAACATGCTCGATCCTGGACACAGGATCGAGCATGTGATTTCTACCCATTCTCCCTCCTTATTGTTTGGCTCTCTCGAAACCTAAACGCCAAATGTACTTGCAGGGCGGGAGCCTTCTGAAATCTGTCAGTAAACTTTTCAAGATTGATTTAGCGCAACCAATCACGAGGTTTTGAAGAAGAATGTTCTACAATCTTGACAGAAATCTGCCGTCCTCGTTGTGCACTCTCAGGTTTCTGTCTTGTAGGCGAGTAGAGGGCAGGTCTTCAGTGTGGTCAGAGTGATGGCCATTCTGCAATCGCCTACCTATGATTATGGAATCATCAATCTGCAGTCACCTGCCTGACTGAGAGTCTCAGGATTTCTGCTTCTGGAGCAGTGAGCTAGGGTTGTGAAAAGGGTCGGGAAGTGCCAGGCTTCGATTGGAAAGATAAAGAGCTTCTCAAGAGGTTGAAGAGCCCATTGTGTACGACAAATCAACAGCAAGGAGAGGCTGGGGTCGAAGAAGACGACTTTGCAGCCTTGACGACCAGCCTCGAGTATGTTCAGGCAGATTTCCTCCACAGGGCGGACGGCTTTAACCAGGAAATCGGAACAGCACGAAGTTTTGGAACATGGGCCGAATGTGTCTGTTTTATCTCTGAGTCTCTTGTGCACTTTTCTGACCATGCAAAAGCGCCGTTTCAGAACTGCAGCATCTTAAAACTCCGTGTATGAGGCTCTCGGGTTAGCTCTAAGTGTGGCATTTCCCACCAGCAGTTAATCAAGCAGTTTCCGTGCCCTCCCTCGAATGTTGGTCCCGCTTTGAGCTTCTTTGTGAGTTTGATATGTCTGGTTCGTTCTATTTCATGTTCGTCGCCAACGTGAACTTTCGCATCCTAGATTCATTCAAGACCAGTCCAGATAGAAGGAGCTAGTGGGCGCTTTGTGCAACCGCAGATTTAGTGCCACAAATAAAGATAATACAAGAACATCAGAATAAAGGGCTGAGTTGTATGACACTACACTACTAATCACAACCAGACTTCTGAGCCGTTGCCTAAAGCTTCTTGTAGCCCAACCACCCAATAGGTTTCTTGATTTCTCGTGTCTCGGAATGTGGGGCGAGGTGATACATCGACAATTGGGGCGTTTTCAATCTAGCTGTGTTTGAAGAGCTCACGTCGTCCGTTTGCATGTTGTCGGTATAACTGGATTCGACGACTATGCCTCATTGCTTGAATGCAATTGTTTCCTCAAAGCGTATGACACTAAAGGGACTCCGAGTTTCGAGTTATATGGTTAGTTTGAAACTAATCGTGGCATCGTTCTAAGAAAATTCGATTAAGACAAGGGAATCAATCTCTTTTGGCCAATATTACTTATTTAAGGGGAGAATATCATTTAGTATTTTGATAGAGAGCACTAGTTGTTGCAATCCTCGGATTATTGTGATTCTATCGGTACTAGCACTCTCTTTGTCATTTGGTTTCATACACATATGGGTAGACTGGATAGGGTATTACCGTCCCTTTGCTATACTCATTACTTCTATCTTAGAGTATCTTCATTGACATGACATAGTCTATGTACAAATCACAAGCAGGTGTTGTCATTCCAGATTTGAATTAAGAAAACGTGTTTCTTTAGATTAAGATATCAGAACAGAGTGTTGCAAGATGCGGGACCAAAATTGTGGTGACTCTGGAAACAAACTGTGGTCGTTTCATTTGTCACTCCATGTCAAAACCTTTGGATAGGTGGGTAGGGATATTACTTCGTTGTATTATAATCCTACCAGTTTAATCAATTTTGAGAAGTTCAGAGCACACGTAAAAAAAGGATAGAGCTCTAGACGCGAGAAGTGGTAAATCTTGTTGGTCGCTTTCGCAAGGCTTGATGACTGAGTTGGCAGAGGTACACTATAACTCGCATCGTATATGTACAAGAATACGTATTAAAATTTCGGGTTAAACGAAACTTGACGATACCATCAAGCAGTTTAGGTTTCGATGGGTACTATCATTGCCTCTTGATGAGACTCTATGCTATGGCAGTGAAATACATCGCTGCTATTACGGTAAAGTGGAAAATTTAGGTGCAAAGTAGGGGTTAGATCAGTTTGAGTGGATTGATTTCCAAGTTGCAACTTAACTGATCGAAATGTTAAAATATGGAAATGATTGCCCAGCTGAAGAATTCGTTAATTGGAAGTCCGTGAATCACAAAGTTGAAGGGTCAAATGTTTGGTCCGCTGATGACTTTATCCTCGAGAGAATCTCTAACAAACCACCAATACATAAATTTGTTGGAAAAACCAGAATCTATAGAAGGTACAGTATGACACAGGATGTCCCAATCACCGAGAGATCTCGATTCGATGCGTATCGAAAACCCGAGGGGTTGCACGACCCGACTAACTGTAGTTGGATATTTCCTAACATTGCTGCAGTTTATGTGTACAAATCGTCCTTCATTTATGAGTTTCATTTCAAGTGCGTATCTATGAAGAGCAACCACTTCAGCTCTTGGGGCGTAAGCACGAAGGTTATCTCCAAGACTTGGAATCGGAATGGTCGCAGGGTTTTCATAAAACTACGACCGGCATCCAAAGTCAACAGCCAACAGTTTATTCCCTACAAGGAATCTGGTTCTGAGATCCTGCTCGGTACACACTGGACGCCGAGAAGGTCTAGGCTCATACCAACAGTGAGGAACTGGGAGAAACAAAATCAGTCCTACTTTTTCATCCGTTTCAATTCAATTGCAGGTTTCTGTTTATTGATTATCTGGATGGATTCTCAATTTTCCTTTTCGTAGTTGCATAGCATTGTGGAAGTCTGAGATAAAGTTGGTGCCTGAGACTGACAGAAGGTGTCCGCCATTACGTTTACATCATAACGACGAGGCATAAGATTGTGGAAACAAGACCAGCATTTTTACGAGCGAGCTTCACCAGGAAGACGAGATGAAACAGAATCGGATGGTGTTCGTGACAGTGGGATCTACGCTCTTCGATGCTCTGGTGGAGGCTGTGTGCAAGCGAGAGTGTTTGCTGACATTGCGCAAACTCGGATACACTTCTCTCGTTATCCAGCTCGGCAAGGGCAAATTCGTTCCTGACAAGGTAGCGAAACCCTCGCCCTCTCTGCTCCATTGTCCTGTCAAGCAACTCTCGTCAATGTGAGCCATGAGGTGATCAAATTCGTGGGATCTTATGCCTCAACACATGTATTGGAACACACTAGGAGCAGGACTAATGAGAAGAACGATGCCCATTGTAAATGACTGTGATGTACTTGACCATCTCATATCAGTTCTCGACTGCTGGATGTGTTCTGCTCGAGCAGTAGTCCTCTACTGATGCGAATTAAAGATGTCTGGATTGCGGTCAGAATCTGCTTGTACAGAATCTCTCTGAATTTAAGTCAAATTTTTCCAAAGAAATTGTCCATGATTGTGTTATCATGGACAACTACCAGGAAGACTAGTACGGAACGTTTTCCTCTTTGACCACGCTCCGTTCCAATTTTGGGTTGTAACTTATAATGCGACAATTAAAGTTTCTTTTCCTGATTGCAGTCGGCAGGTGAAGCGGAAGATATCGAGATAGAACATTTCCCCTACAAACCCAACCTCGCAGAGTATCTCGGCAAGGCGGATCTCGTCATAAGTCACGCAGGTGAGAGTCAGCTTCACCACCTTCCTGGAATTCAATTCCTACACTGGATTTGCTTGGAACGAAGCTTCAGCCGAAAATAAGAATATTTACTCTCGTGTGGTGCAGGATCTGGGAGTATTTTTGAAACCTTGCGAGCCCAGCGGCCGCTGGTTGTTGTGGTGAACACACTGCTCATGGACAATCACCAGAGCGAGTTGGCGGATGAGCTCGCAGAGAGAAAGTATCTCTACACTGCCAGTCCGGAGAAGTTGGTGGACACTCTGAGGACAATGAAGCTAGAGACTCTGGTGCCATACCCTTCCTCCGAACCTTCTGCTCTTGTCAAAACCCTCGATCAATTTCTGGGCTTTGCACCGAGTATCAGATCTGTTTCGGACCACCGGTAAGACAACGTGCTCGCATGGAAATCGGTGGCGTTTCTCATCCCTCGAACAAGGGAAGGAATGAGAAATAATCTGGTCCATCCATATGCTCCCCAATCTGCTGCCGGCCAGGAAACATTGGTGTAGTCGGGACGCCGGGAATGCTGTTTGGAGCACTCAATTAGAAATCGGACTCTCTTGCCTGTGCATACATTCCTGTTACAGAGTTCGAGCTGGAGTTGCATAACTAATGAAAGTGGAAATGAAGTTCGTCCTGGAGGAGAGTGATCGTCCGTGCTTCGTTTCTGCTGCACTTTCTGGCTGGCCGATGCTGCCTGGAGGATAATTAGTTGCAACCCTTGGAGGACCAGTTCTTCTCTTACCATCTAAATACACTACAAAGTAGCAACTTTTAGGAGCACAGTGTCCTTGGTAGAAAAAGATCAGATCAGCTGGCGTCTTATCCAAGCCGAAATCACTTCAACCGCATTCAATTGGAAACTGTGCCGTGGGGTTTGGCAGAAGCTACTCTGAGGTTGGGCTCATTCCCTGACTTAGGGCTCAGGATCGGAATAGGTGCACCCACCTGTCTCCGGGGCAGCGAAAGGAGAGTCCTGCATGCGGTCAGGCCTGCTTGGACTGCTCTGTAATTTGTATCCGTGTGAAATGGATCGGAAATTTATCACCGATAGTGTTTTGAGCATCTTTCAGTGCAAAATGAATGTGTATGTTAATGAAGGAGCTAGCTGCAGACTTGGTGATGACTTCACCATCATTTGTCCGCATAGGAAAAATCCATGATTTCTGTCGAGGCTTTGTCATTCCGTAATGAAGGTCTGGGGAGAGCCGACACCAAACCCTAAACGGCGCAAACCTTGAACAAGCGACATTGGCGTCATAACTCTTGGTAACCGTGTGAAAGATGTAAAATCATTGTAGATATACCTTTTCTGCTCCACTGTCAGGAATCTTTCTCAGCACCTGGTTGTTGATAGATACACGAGAGATAGACCCAGAATATGCTTGACCTTGTCAGGAATCCTGTGCTGTCCTGTCAGCTGTGCAGCTCAGTGTCCACTTGTTACATCGGTTCGCGAAACCAGTCGCCTCGATCATAGATTTTCTGTGACACATTCCGCATCAGATTGAGAACGTTTCAGATGTACGCAGGTGACTTGACATGAGGTTTGTTCTAGAAAGTCCTTCATCTTCCAAGGACTAGATTGACATCTTTCTTGGATTTGAGATTGTATCGTCCTACTAGTAACACACACGAGAGAAGTCGAGATGGCTAACGAAACTTACTTCATCTGTGAAAGGTAAAGCCCCCATTCAGTCATCCTTCCATGTCCTTCTAAGGAGATCATACAGAGTGCGACGACATCCTGTCCAGTCGATCTGGCCCGTGGGTCTCGTGCAACGCTTGCAGTTGCGTATGCTAGACAAGCCTCGATGGACAGAACCCTGAGGAAACTCCTCAAAACTTGGGGTGGACTGTCATGATGGTTTAATTAATGCCCTTGCCCATTGACCTTGACCGAGTCACAACCGGATCCAAGAGTTTACATACAATAGTTTAGACTGCTTAGTATATACCGACGGCGAACACATGTCAGCTTTTCGAATTTCAGCTCTCTATTATGACAGTTCAAAAGATACGGTACGCAGTTCAGTGCCTTTTTCTCATCTGTTTCAAGTCTCCAACTTCGACCCTTCTGTCTCCGAGCTGTTGTGGTTTACTTCCAGGGCTTTGTGCGCCATTGATGGTGTCAAAGCTGGATTGGCGTCCGAACTCATATCCAAAGGTCCCTTCTAGATTGAGCTCGCCCCAGGGTCGGTTGGGATTGTAAAGGGCACTGAACGCAAACCAAGGCCCAAAATACCGACCTCGATCGAGGCTCTTCGATTGTCAAATAATTTTATTCTGATTTCCAACTTCCAAAGCTCTGATCTCAAAGCTCGAATCATCCCACACCCACTGTTTACATCACGGCCATGCGCATCCAGCCACTGGCACAGACATAGTGTAATGACTAGAAAACCACCTCTTCGTAAGTATTTCCTGTTTATTCTGCCGGCTTCCACAGCCCTCGACATATTCTCATCATCATCGCAAACTAAGTCATATTACACAGTCAGGATTGGCAGCAGAATTTGAGGCTGTACTCCAATTTGAGTACAGCCGTGAGGAAGATAAAGCCGTTCCTTCCGCTGGCAAGGGGGAAATACCAGCCAGGGCAGGCACATGTCAAAGAAAAATGCAATGGCCATCGGGTGCCCTGCAAAAAATTCCGCATCTCGTAAATGCCGGGAACGATGGACGAGCACTGCCTGGGAGAGGAAGGGGACCAACATTGTGTGTCAGTGTGTCTGCGAGGAAATGATGGGGCGATGACGTCGATTGTGTACTGTGCAGGATACCCACGTTTGACGAGGACATTGGACCTTTTGTACGCGAGGCTGTTTAATACAGTACAGTACTCTGTAATGACTGGAATTGGAGTCACTAATGAATGTTGACGTTTCGTTTCATCGTGATGGGGCCTTCCCATTTGCTCTATCCCGGGTCTAATGACTAGGAAGTAATGATAAATTCGTTTTGCTGTGTCGCACGAGGGAGTGTCTCTCGGTGAGATTGAGGCCTGGAGTTGCATATTTTGTTCTCCGTGTCCTTTTTATTTTTTTTTAACATATATTTGGTGTGTCCTTTGGAATGAATGAATGAGTAAATGAACGACCGACCTCGTCCTGCTTTGACCGAGGTCGATTATCTGCAGCTGCTAGGTTGGAGATTCGTCACATCAGGCGTTCCTCATGTGACGAGCCAATTGCTCAGACTGATGGTGTCCAAAGCTTAAACGGATGATGTTTTGAAAGTCATCACCCTCTTGGATTGGGTCAACCTCACATCGTGTTGTTACAAGGGTCCTGACAAGGGGATACATGTTTCAACGTCGAGGGATGGATTTCCGGAACAAAGTCTTCCATTGGAGAGAAGCATTCGAGGAGGAGTAGTGATGGAGCTTGATAGAGTTGATGCTACAGAGCTTTGCATCTAGCAGTCTGGATACCCGTCCCAATAATGGGGATTTCTATACCTCACAAAAATTTCGGGATTCCACTCACGATGTAGGCGAGTTACATAAATCGAGGCTCTCCCTCCACGAGCTCATAGAGCCATATTTCTGAGTCGTCTTGTGGTTGATGAGATGCTCTAGTGTGTCAACGTAGATCATATATGCCTCCAACAGTATTCACGAAATGGTGGGTGGGGTGGGGGACTCATTCATCATTGTAAGCAGCCATGTTACTGCTCTGATCAGCTTCTCAGTGCCATCCTGCAAGCTCTCCCACTCCACTCCACTCCACTCCACTCCTCTTCATCCTGGCTCACTTACAAGAAAACAGAGCCTCAGCCTACGGAGTGAGAGAACTCAAGGTCGGTACTACAATCGTAGCCTGGGTGGTCAACTGCGAAGACGGCTTTTGAAATGACATGATTGACTAGATTCTAGATCCTTATCTTCTCGTAGAAGCACAGCAACACAACAACAACAACAACAGCAATACTAGACGATTGGTGGTGGGCAACGTCACATGTGTAAAAGTCGGTTGACTGTAATGTGTGTCAACGGGAACCTTATCATGGGACCAAAGAGAGCTCACGAGATGAACTTGTCATAAATCTTTCACCTCAAGCAACTCTCGGCAACCCTCGGTGATCCCAGCATTCAAGACCAGCGCAAATCTTCTTAGATACCCGCCCGCAGGATGATCATGGCACCCGTTCTCGTTCTCGAAAATGTTGCCTGTATACATGAGTACGAAATCGTGTGACCGGTGCTCTTCAAAGTTGACTGTCTTAATGGAAGTGGACCTCAGTGCTCCTTCTGGACGAATGGATTGACAAGTGCCGGTGGATGGATCGGAACATGGATCGGAATTGAGGGCATAACTGTAGAGAAAATGGGTTTCACTCTTCCGTCGTTGGCCTATCAATGCACATGACATGTGCCCCTCTAATGTTGTGGAGGTGGAGAGGTGCTTGGGATGAGCGACCGACCAGGAGAACATAAAGGGAAGGGTGCTGCAAAGGAGAAGATGCCTCCTCTATCTTTGTGTGCGAAGCATGAGATTCACGCTTCGTTCACGACACCCTTCGACAAGGTGGCGACAAGTGCTCGCTACTATGTAGCTAATTGTTCGGAAGCCCATGCACCCTGGTCGTTAAATGTAGTTTATACTCCACGAATCCTCTCAAAGTCTCCGAGGCGATGGTGCCAGCGCTGTTTCTCACAAGGGATAAACTTTTGGGAGGGAGCAAAGGAAGACACGAACCAAGTTTGAAGCAAGGATGCGTTGGGACATTAGCACCAAGTAGATAGCCATCCCCAATCTCGGGGAATGTTTGGTTGGGTGAGAGCTGCTTGAAGTGCGTGGAACCGTGATCATCATCATCGGAGCTGGGAAGGAGCTTTAGCCAAAAGGCCACGGACATGGATAGAAATGGAGGAAAATGCATTGTCGTGCGTTGTTGTCTGCCTGCCCAAAGTTGTACAACTGTTGGTGAGTGCGCTAAAGAAACGAGCATAAAAAGTGTTGGCTTTGAATAACTGAATGATGCCTCAGAGAAAAGAGGAGCTGCTTGGAGAGGGTGGGACGAGTGGATAGTTTAAGAGTTTAAGAGTCTCAGGCTTTTGTCGTATCAGGTGACGCATTTGCTTTTGGGGCTGCTTTAAGGGCACCGATCAAGTGTAAAGGGAGTGGGGGAAGGAAAAAGTTTTACTCTCCCGTCGGTCCCCTTTGCCCGATGAGTAAAAAACAATAGTCTCAACAGTAGTTTTGTCTCGAGTTACTGTGATATCATGCGCAGAATCTCGCCGGGAGCTCTCGTTCGGATCTCTGCAATGAACGAGTCCAGTTTGTCGCAATGTATATAGAGCTCAATGAAGTCTGACACAGCTGGGGGACCCACATATGGACACTGGTTTCTGAAACAAGGCTGCTGTACAGGTATTTATGTGCAAGAGCGAGTTGGGTTCACAGCAAAGTCCGAGGATTGTGTGGATCCGAGGAGGCGGAGTGTGCATGAGAAGGAATCCGTTGCAGCAGCTGGTGGAAGGACTTCGCGAAGAAAAAATGGTGTGATTTTTGGGTGGAGTCATCGCTCGATTCTTTCACCTCGACCATTGGCAGATCAATAGTACCACCTCAGCGGCAACAGCAACGCCTACCGCAGCAGTAGCTCCCTCCTCTGCATGTGTGAGCCCCCATCGATGAACACATGAGTGTGGAGAGGAGGGAAGGAAAAAAAATAATTTAAGAAGAAATCTTCTGTCAAATTGTGCATTTGTGTGAGACTTTGTGTATCAAGGACGCTACGATGGAGCGATTTTTACTGCTTCTCCTTGCCCTGACGACGATCTTCGCAATGCCAGCCCTCGGCAGTAAGGTACGCCAGATTGTCTGCAGTCAGTCAGTGTTGTGGAACATTGTGCTGCCTCCCCTTTTCCGTTTGATGTGCTTACGAGCTAGAGCTCTCTTCCTTTCTCTCTCCTCTCAATTTTGGTTTAATGGGGTCCTTCCTTGTCATGACTTCAATGTGGAGGCAGCTAAACCGAGATACCGGTTAGCATTGTCATTCGATTGATGGAGGTGGTTGCTGATCTTAGAGCACCACCAGACTACTTCGTTCTGGCTGTCCTGATAGCTGTAGGCAACATTCGGATTTGAGCCACTCGCTTGGGCAGGAATGTGCTGCAGTTGAAACATGCAGCTCCTTTCTCGGGCACAAAGTCATGACTTCCGACGAGTACTGTCGCCTCTTTTGATTCATGCTGGCTGACAACATGTCCAAACATTCTCCTCGCCTGCTGTGTGCTGTCATCCTTTGAGCGTCTGCAATTCCCAGCCATCCTCTCCTTGCCTCAAGATGGATGTGCTATTGTGTCCAGGGAAGAAATTTTTTTGTATAGCAGGATCTTCTGAACATTTACTTGCTTCAATCTCTACCTGAAATCATTTCCTATGTGGCTCAGAGTTCGGTACTGAGAGATCCTAATTTGATAGCCTGGAGCCGGACTCTTCGACGAGTGTAGTCTAACAATGGATTTATGCCGATTGAGGCCGTAGATATATGCAGATTGAGTGACTTCACTTGAAAGGGAAAATTAACTTGTGGACAATATTTAGTGTATCATGCAGCCTTTAAAGTCACGTCTTACATTCTAGAATTGATGCGAAGATCTTTCCACATTGACTTTCACGTTCCTCATTAGAGATTTCGAGAGAATGCTTGATACATGTTGAAATCATATAGAAAGTTGCTTCTTTAAAATCTCCACTAGCTTGCTCTCTAGGCTTTTAGTAAACAGTTGGATGGTTTCATCGTCACCATAGGTCAAAGTTTTCTAGGCCACTATCAGTATGTAGGGCGACGGTCACCGAGGGAAGGAGACGAAAACCATGGTGTATACATCCAAATTCAGTAACACAATTGCTGCATAAACTGTCTTTGCATCCCCCTCTGAGATGTGCCGTAGAATTCTTCTGCTTTCCACGTTCACTTCACTGTGGCTACAGGCATGCCCTGTCAAAAGTATAGTGTGTTGGTCATTGTTCACTAAGTCCTCCTTTTCGGCGCTATTCAGTCTTATGTGGTGTACATGGGAGGTCGGAGCCAAAACCTTCAGTCAGCCTCGGCAAGTCACCACCAGATGCTCTCAACGGTGATGGACAGGTACTGTAATGACTATCCTTCACTGTATTCTGTACAGCAGGATCGTAGGAATCATTACTCTCATTTTACACCTGCGCATCATCACACAGGGTTTTTATCCTAGATGCCGACGCTCTTGAACAATAATTTTCGAGTATGGAGAACCAATGAGTTTTTTTTGCATGCAAGAATTTTAGATACATCGCACGAATTGCTTACTTTTCAGAAGATGGAAGTAATTGTCCTCACGGAAGTGAATTCCACTAGACCTGAAAGTTTCGAAGACGCGTATGATTGTGTATTTTATCTCATTGTTAAATTTTCTCACTGTCTTAAATATTTTCCTCTTCACAGTTCTGAAGCTGCAAGTGAGGCCATGATGTACGTATACCACCATTTTCATGGTTTTGCTGCCAAACTGACTCCGGAACAAGCTGCCACGCTGGCTGGTAACTACTTTACTCCGAAATTTTCCCACCACTACTCACCTCAATAATTACCTCTTTGCCATCCCTGAGTATGTGAATTCTGCTAAATTCAGCTCATGATTGTTGACTGCAGAGCGCGACGAAGTGGTGTCTGTGTTTCCCAACAGGAAGCACATTCTGCACACCACGCGCTCCTGGGAGTTTCTCGGACTGGAGGACAGTGAAGGGAAGCTAACCCCCAATTCTCTCTGGAACAAGTCGAACTTTGGGAAGGACGTTATCATTGGTGTCCTCGACACCGGTAGGTCTCATGATGACCCATCGTTGGCCACGGCCCACCCTTCATGTCACTCGTTAGACAACATCTGTCATCATACCTTAGTTTATCAGTTCACTGTACGAAAGAGTACGCTCAACTTTTTAACCACCTCGGATATGTTTTCCCTCTAGAACCAGTAATGAAAAGGTTTGACCTTTCGGTGCAGGTGTATGGCCTGAATCTGCAAGCTACCGTGACGATGGATTTGGTCCCATCCCTGCAAGGTGGAAAGGAGAATGTGTTGCCGGAGACGAGTTCAATGCCTCATACTGCAACAGGTAAGGGGAACGGTCTTGACTTTTTCCCCCAATTGTGTCAACATGAAAATAAATACCCCAATAATTGATGTACAAAGTATTTGCTCTTGTACTGTCAACTCGAGTGATCCCTCTTACGGCCTGGGCACAGATCCTGGGAATTTGCTCTTGCTGAGCTAATGTGTTTTCTATGGATTTTTCTCTTTACAGGAAATTGATTGGAGGAAGATTCTTCATCCGAGGGTATGAGTCTGAAGAGGGTCCACTGAACACAACCAGGACAGGAGACTTTCGCTCTGCCAGGGACATGGATGGTCATGGTACTCACACTTCATCCACAGCAGGGGGTAATTTCGTAGAAGGTGCAAACACTTTGGGCTTTGCAAAAGGTACGGCTAAGGGCGGAGCACCTTTGGCGAGGGTGGCAATGTACAAAGTATGCTGGCCTAGTACGGCAGGAAGTGGAGGATGTTATGATTCAGATATTCTTGCAGCATTTGATGCCGGAATTGAAGATGGTGTGATCATCTTCTCCGTTTCTCTGGGAACATCTCCCCCACTCCCTGCCTTCTATGAGGATGGTATTGCAATTGGATCCTTCCACGCCATGGAGCAAGGCATCACAACGATTGCCTCCGCCGGTAACTCTGGACCTACACCGGGCACTGTGGCCAATGTGGCCCCATGGATGATCACCGTGGCTGCATCCAGTATCGATCGTGATTTTACCTCTTACGTCACCCTCGGAAATAACGTGACCTTGAAAGTGCGTACTTCCTCATTCGCAGCTTTTTTTTAAACAGGATGAGACCTGCTCTGGAGTTTGTATATGGAATTTTTGACGTCCTTGTGGTTCTGAGTTTAGTCGTAAACCTTTTGCATCGTGTTGTTAGCCAACCTGAAGGTTTTGTGCTTCGAAAAATTGCATTGAACTGTAATGAATTGTGCATATACACTCTACCTGCTTTCCTTCTGGGAATCTGCAAGGATGCATGTTAAGCTTGAATATATACAGCTTGAAGATGTTGGTCGGATCAACAATGGTACTCAAGGCTCGACGTCGTTCTCGGAAACTTGTAATCGAGACTTCATGTATCTGAGAAGCTCAAGTAAATAATAGGATAACATTTGTGATCATCCAGGGAGAAAGTCTGGCGAATGAGAAATTGGAAGATAAGTTCTATCCTCTGATCGATTCAACGACGGCATTTGCGGCCGATTCAAATGCTTCCCAGAGGTATACCTTTGATTTTTTCAAACTATTCATACACACCTGCAACAGCTGTATATTTTTAACGTCCTCGAATAACAGTAAATTCAACTGACTTTCATGCTTGCAGTTGCTCGGTAAAATCTCACCTCCTTCATACTGGAACTAACCTTGAGTCACCTTCTGTCATAAACGCAGCCAATTGTGTCTCGCTGGTTCTTTGGACCCTGCTAAAGTGAAGGGAAAGGTCGTGGCCTGCTTGCGAGGAATTACCGCTCGAGTAGACAAGGGAGAACAAGTGAAACTAGCAGGTGGAGTTGGACTCATCTTGATAAATCCTCCTTCGAGTGGCAATGAACTGGTTTCAGATCCCCATGTCCTGCCAGGTCTCAACCTTGGGTCAGCCACTGGTGATGAGGTTTACAAGTATATCAGCTCAACGAAGTAAGTCCATCTATTCTTAAGCGGAAGGTGCAAATAGAGGGGCTAGTGGCAGAAGAGACACCAACATGCTGCGAGCTCTTATAGAATGGAATCAGTATCACAATAGTTGATGGTAGGTCAGTTTGGATGCACGTAAATGAAGCTTTATTGCTGCATCTTTCTTACGCTAGAAGTTTCATGAACTGATTGTGCTGACTTACCTTTTCCTGCCAGAATTTTCTTAAGGTGGCGAAAGTTGATCAGTGTCACGTTTTACCTTCAGAATTTAGAATATTTTTTATGCAGTAGTTTATGGTGGGTCAGTTTGGATGTTTGAACTTGATGTATTATTCTCGCAAAATAGTGTTTTACTTACACTGGAAGTTTCCGGTTTGATTGTGGTCATCTTTATTGCTGTAGGAGTCCTGTTGCAAGACTTATTCCAGCAACCACTGTTCTAGGAGTGAAACCCGCCCCAGTTCTGACAGCATTTTCGTCTCAAGGACCAAATACACTCGTACCCGACATAAACAAGGTATGTTTGACAGCTTGGTTTGACAAGTGCCATTGGATGTATGTACTACAAACAACTGAACTGACAAACAGAAAAAATCTTAAAAACTTTCAAAAAGACCTTTGGAATAAAGAAGGGAGTAAACATCATGTTTGGATAGCTAAGCAGATACTTACTTGGAGATTAGATGCAGGAGCGTTATTTAAATTTATATCTTTTTATTTTCCAGTGCTTGATCTCATGTTCACTACGAGGTTAGTTCGTTTCATAATGAAAAACTTGAGTAATTCTATTGCGAAGTTATCAATGAACTAGTCTTTAGAACTTTAAGTGCATGAATTAGTCAGGAGATTCTTCGACATCACCTGAAATTCTCTACGAACCTGAGAGAAGTTCGGGAAAATATCCTACTATAAGAAACACCTTCTTAATGTGAAATTAGTTGTCTCTATTCCGTCTCCATCTTCTCTCATCCTACTTCTTCGTCCTTCCAGTCTCTAACCATCAGCATCGTTAAATCTTCAGGATATGACAGGCAAGCACTGATAAGTTCATTTCATATTTAGGATACATAGAAGTGAACCAAGGAAGTCTGAAGGGAGTTTAAATTCCACTCTGTGCATTAGAAGAACCAACAAGTATTCTGATATGGGTAAACATGTGTTTTCTAATTTGTGCAGCCAGACATCACTGGACCAGGATTGAACATTCTGGCAGCATTTACCGAAGCTATTTCCATCACTGATCTTCCCTCAGATAACAGGGTTGTGAAGTTCAATATCATCTCAGGAACGTCTATGTCATGCCCGCATGTTGCTGGTGTGTCTGCCTCCTTGAAAGCTCTTCATCCCAACTGGAGCCCTGCCGCTATTCAGTCAGCCATCATTACCACAGGTATGTTTCTATTGATGGATGCATGAGTCGAAGCACCTCCTGTTTATAAATATTGGATAGTCGAGAGACTTTGCCATAATGTAGTGAAGTTACAGCTCATGAAATGTTTTCACGAGTTCGAAAGTTCACTACTATAGCACAGTGTCGAGTCATTACACAGCAGTTATGAGCGTACTTCTTATCTTTATCTGCTTTATACAGAAGTCGACCACATCTTTGTGCAACTTAGCTAATCCCTCACTCTCTCAATACCTCTCATCATATCGTAACACACTATTGTCGATCTAGCTCCCCTTACCTCTCACCTATGGAGTGAGAGATGAATTCGGTCTCCCTGTTTACAGACCAAATCCCATGGGTCGGTATATGTGAATGGTCAAGTTCACTCACTGCTGTATGGAAACGGACTAGCGGCAGTTAATCTCTTTGTCGTTATGTTTGGTCCTCTCTGCAGCTTCGACGATGGATAATCAGGATAAACTGATCAAAGATTCAACACTCAAAGCCAGCAACCCTTTCGGAGTCGGAGCGGGCCAAGTGAATCCGAATAGTGCTGCCGCTCCAGGATTGATCTATGACAGATCTTACGTGGATTACTTTCCTTTCTTCTGCGCATTGAGCTATACCAGTGCCCAAATTAGATCCATCTCGGGTGAAGGTTATACGTGCCCAACATCGAAACCCCTTGTCAGCAGCCTCAACTACCCGAGTCTTACAGTCTCGAGCTTAAGATCCCAGCAGATTGTCATGAGAACGGTGACTAACGTGGGTTCGGCGAACAGCGAGTACACTGTAAGCATCACCTCCCCTCCTGGAACAAAGGTGGTCATTTCTCCATCGACGCTCAAGTTTTCAGCTTTGGGCGAGAAATTGAGCTTCATGGTGACCATTACCAAGGTGTCTGATTCTCCGAGGTACGGTTTTGGCTCGTACACCTGGAGCGATGGAACCTATTCAGTCAGAAGTCCCATCACTGTCAAAACTGCAGCAAGAACAGTATAATTCTTGCTGTGCATAGTATAATTCCTTGATAGAATAGACCTCAGAGTTTATTCCGTGTAAAATGCTTGAAATCCCTCAGTCTCATGGTTTAAGGATGATGTGAAGTGTCACTCCAAGTGTACATTTTGTTTGAAGTAAAACTCCATAGCTAAAGCTTGTCTTACAAGCACTCTCCTCCATACTCTAACCCTGCACAGGCTTCTTTTAATTTTCACCACTTGTATATTTTGCCACTTTTGCATCTCATTGCATCACGTTTGGGAGAGTATCTCCTGCGACCGCCGCTTTGTTTCGATATGTGAGTATGGAGTAGAGCACTGAACAATGCGACTATAGGATCTCAAGCTGGGAGTATTCTAAGTGATCCAGATTCCAACTAGGTGCCAGCACCGTTGCAAAGGTCAATGTTGAAGATAATAATAAATAAACAATTAATTATGTTTTTGAATGTTTTAATATAAAAAAATATCTAAATTATTTGATTATCCGTCCTCATTCATTGATTGTTGAGTTTGTGTCGATGAATTCTAACATTTGGATTAAATTGATGATGATTATACTTAGTATGAAAGGCTTATTATTATGGAATATTCTCACATTTTGTCATTATACCAGTCAAGATATTTAGTTTGTAACATAAAGTTCAATCAAGTAACAAATTGAATTTTGTCATTATAATGCAGTGGATAATGTAACTATGTATTACACTAGTGAAGATAGAAAACCAAGTTTTATATGAAATAGAAATTGATAGGGGATCTAAATTGAAATATATACTTTTTTTCAAAATGTCAACGTCATAAAACTGCAACAGTCAAAATATAGATATTATCTCATAATCATCTCCTAACCACGCAGGTAAAGTTCTTTGAATATCAACAAAGAATTTTATCCTGTTGATTCATATTTGGATTATTTATATGAGATTTTCTTTATTAATTCCTTTTGACAATATATTGTGGAGTTTGTGGTAAAAGCATATCATGCACTTGAGTATTGAGAATTGATGGTTTTGAGATTATTGGGTTGAAAAGTATGAATATTGTTTCCGCGTGGCATCGATTGTGAAAGCTTCCAAATGGTTATGTAACCATGTACATCAATATTTTTTTAAGACTTGGATACTAATCTTTTTCTCATGACAATATAATATGTTAACATGAGGTGTAACTAGTGTTGAATTCATAGAATGCGAAAAGAGTACGCATTGTGGAAATTAAATTGTTCCATATTTGCACCAAAGAATACTTTGAATACACAAATTCTTTACATTTTACCTAGAATTGTGTAATTGAAATGAAAACATATAGTTCACTAAATGTACAATTGATCAAGAAGTAACTAAAATAGGCATTGTCGAATAAGTTTCTAATGATGAATAATGTCAAGCGCAATTCGAATAGTATGGCAGGTACATGTAATGAGATCCCATTGTAGAATAATTTACTTACTGAAACCATCAAGTTTTGTTTCACCCATAGTACCCCAACGAACACCAAGTCACCCATATTCTTTTATCTCCCCGACTGTGATATGAGTATGACCTAGTAGCAACTTGCAGAGGAGTAACAAACTGGAGCATGCAAGAGCTGAAGCAAATTACGCGGATGAAATAAACTTTTGTTTCAGTGAAACTTTATGAAAATTGAAAAGAACCTTCCAATGCTCACACAAAATCACTTTTGTGCAGGTTGTATCAAAAATAAAGGAATCATGAATACTTGTTATTCACTTTTTTCTGATCTTCCAAATTTGGAAATCTGCGACTTAACTCTTGATGTCAATTGTTGGTGGTACTCGATTGACCCTACCAGTTGATGGCCAAGCTAGCAAATTTCTCCTCAATGCTCGGGGATGAATTCCAAAGCATTCTTCGACATTGTCGAATAATGTTCTCACCCATCAACCCTCCAAAGAGACTTAGGTTCCTTGCTCCGGCCTTGGCCAATGTACTCTTTGTTGACTTCGGGGCCACAATAGCTCCCGCGCCGGCGACGAACGAGCATGAAACTATAGCGGGACGGTTGCCATTTCTCACACTCTATTACACAACAAACCCGAACATTTTTGTCACTCTTCCCTACTCATGTCCGCACCCGATATAGAATCCAGCTCTAAAACCCAAAACTCACATGGGTGATGAGAAATCAGTATTTATTGTTTCTGTTTTATACTCATTGTCATCGTAGAATCTATAGAAGAACATGGGCGAGGTGTTCGTAATTGGATCCCATCAGGCAAAACAATAAATAAAGTGTTTTAATTATTGGGACCCATCAAGTAATTTCCTCGGTTTCGATAGAATACAAATAGCAAGTAAAATGATGTACTCTAGTATATTGATGTACAACTACGGGGAAAACAAGAATTCTCAAAGATCTCTTATTATGTGACAATTTTCATGAAACAAACTTCTTCAAAGTATTTCATGTTTCAATATATATTATATACATGTAGGATTCCCATGGTTTATACTAGTATATTAAAACAAAATGAGTACGGTCGACTTCAGTGTAAATGTACTGGTTGAATTTGTGGCAATGCTCAATCCAACGAGGTCCATTTTCAGTAACAGCTTCTCCCGAAGAGTATGAGACACAGAGAATCTAAGTTTTTTTTCGAAAGCTGTTCTATGAAGACGGTAGTGTATCGTTACATAAGGGCCGAGAATTGCCAGGCTCTCCGTACGAGGGGAGTAAACGACGTATTGGTCATCACACAACGAATGAACACGACCGCACTCCCTGTGCTGATGAATCGTTCAACAAGATTCGAGCCTAGTTTTGCTCCAACATACATATGTTGGAGCAAAACTCCAACATATGTACGAAGTTGCTAATTCCGTCCTGTACGGCGCCGCATGATCTCTGTTGTAGACTTCGTGTTCAGTTGTGATCGCAAGGACTCTTCTTTTCAAGACATTGGTGAATCAGATTGTTTACTAAAGGTCTGATTGACCTCCGGCTCTGGTTCCGCTGGGTGATGTCGAATGCCTTCCATTTGAGAAAGAAGGGATAAAAATCGTGGCGATTTCTTTTTATTGGATTTTCTGAGTATGCGTAGATGGAGTAAATTTTGGTACATGAAGCGTGGGCAAGCTCGAGCACTTACAGCACCCTGAGGAGCACATTCGTCAAATAGGCGCCCTCGGGGTACGAGACGTCTAGTGTGTGGTCGGGCGATGCACCCGCGTAGCGCAATTGGGTCAATTTTCGACCCGCTTGCTTGGAGGCCTCCTGCAGAACCGAAACAAAATTGCCACTTTGCGTCATGGCGCCGGAGCACGAGCAAGTCATGAGGAGACCGCTGGGGTTGATCACCTTCATGGCCAGGGCGTTCAGTCTTCGGTACTGAGTTATGGCACGCGAGAGGACCTTCCGATTGGGGGCAAGCTTCGGCGGATCGAGAATCACGACGTCCCAGGACCTTCCTTCTGCAACAGAGTGGCTCAAAAAGTTCTTGATGTCCTGCCGGATGAAGGTACTGCGACACGGGTCGATTCCATTGAGCGCGGCGTTGGCTCTGGCCAACTCGATCGCAGGGCCCGACGAATCCACGCCCGTCACATGCGAGGCTCCGCCCGCTGCTGCGTTCAGCGCAAAGCCTCCGCTGTAGCAGCAGAGGTCGAGCACCGTCTTGCCCTCACAGAGTGAGCGCAGGAAGAATCGGCTCTCGCGTTGATCGGCATAAAATCCCGTCTTCTGCCCGGACACAGACGCCATGAACCTGACGCCATTCTCCACCACCTCGACCTCGTCGAGCTCACCGGGGAGGTCGATCAAGAAATCCGTGGGGTCCTGGAGGCTCAGGCCTTCGTCCTTGAGAATGTCGACGGAGGGCCTCCAGGTGATGGACGCAATGCCGCCAGTGGCCGCAGTCAGGGCTGCCTCAATGGTGGGGCGGTACTTCTCGACCCACGCGGCCGACGACGCCACGACCAGATGCTCGCCGAGCACGTCGGCGATCAGGCCCGAGAGGCCATCGCCCTCGCTGTTGATCAGGCGGAATACATTGGTGTCGCACGAGGGCAGGCCCAGAAGCTTGCGCAGCTCCACGGCCGCGGCCACTCTCGAGAAGATGAGCTTCTCCATGTCGAGAAAGCACGACGGGTCGCGCTCGGCGTCCGCCTCCATTTGCATGATGCGCACGCGGAACATCGAGTCCTGATTGTAGACGCCCCACGCGAAGGGCTGCTTCGCCGCGTCCGTGACGAGCACCGTCTCGCCCGAGCGCGGCGGCGGCTTGCCCACCACGCAATCCACCGCGCCGCTGTACACCATCGGGCTCCCGTCCTTGAACATCTGCACCTTGCCCTTCTTCAGCACCACTCTCGGCACGCCGGGATTCCGCGCCGCGCCTTCGGCAATTCTCGGACTGCTGCTGCTCGCGTCGCCGCCGCCCTCATTCCGTGCATTTCTCGCCATTACGTGCAGCGCGCACGATCGACGAGAATTCGCTCCGCTCCATGGCGCCCGAAACGCATTTCGCCATATCTCCTCCGACGGGCTCCGCAGTCCCAGATTCACTGGACGCAAATGTCGCAACATCCCTCCTCTGCATTCGAGCTTCTCCTTCGCTCCTATGCCGCCACGCACACACTTCACCGCTCCAGGTTCTCGATCATTCGGAGCTTCTGGGTTCAGGGCTTTAGGTCACTGCACTCCCGTCGATCGAAAGCCCGACTGACAGTGGATAGAGTATCGTTTTGTTCCTCTATCCAGTCCCGACCCGTCCGTTGTAGTGTGCGAGTGTCGATAGCTTCGCTGTGCATCTGGCAGTTTCTTGAGGTTTACAGAGCCCGGCCAGTGGCGTGACAACGGAGAATCATCCTCACCAAGAGCTTTAGGCAGTTGCTGCGTCGGGGTTCATCACTAGACAGACATCTCATCGAAGGATCCCGGAATTTGTTGGATGAGGAACTTGGGGAACATGGCATGAGTGAGCCTTGACTGCGTTTATCTCTGCCATCGATCGCTGGCTTCAAGTTGGGTGTTGGTTAGGCTTCTGTTTAGCCATACAACTCGCGGAGAGTGATGGCAGTCGCTAAATTGAGGTCTAGTAGTCATGGCTCAATTGTATCCGCGAGACTGTCGTCCATGAAAGCCATGAAAGTACATTGTGGGATGACACAAACGTGACAAAATTTTGCACATATTTTATTGAATAACATTCCAACTAATTTTTAGGGTAAAAAACCAAAGTATAATTTCACCATGTCAACAGTTTCATGCTAAAAGGCGAAAATACCACTTACCATGAGGATGTAGATAAATTATATCTTGTGATCACTTGTACGAACGTGACCAGCGCTCTCCTCTATCGAGCTTTGACCTCTGCACTCTTCACTTTTAGATGGCGCATATGCTGCGAATGTTCTGTGTTTAAGAGATGGTCATGATTTTAGTACAATATTGTTTACATTTTTTATCTATATTGTTATATTTTATATAAATTATTATATATAAAATTTCATTAAAATTATCTATATAGAATTAACATATTTGAAATTTTTTCAGATTTTTAGATAGTTGACAGATGTTTATGGAAAATGGATAGATTCTTGTGGCCGTACACTTAAAAAATCTAGTTCAATTTGTCATTTTTATAGCTTAAATATTTCGTAAATAATAATAACTCTACTTAATTTTTTTAAGAAGTCTTTCACGTTCATATTTGTCTACAAACGTTATATCTGAATTGTCGAAGTTAGATTATTCTGAATTCTACTTTCGTAAAAATGTAACCAATATAAAAAAAGGGATTTTGATATTTTTTAAAAATGATTTATATGCTAATATAATTTTCAAAAGAATTACTTTAAACGGATTGAAATAATTCTTTATATTTGAAGCCACATTTTAGTCAATACTGATGATAAAAAACTATATTTGAAATTTATCATGGAATGTAAATATATAGAATTTGAAATGGTTAGATTTTACATGGTTGAATGCATTATCGACTAAACTCATGGCACAAATTAAATCTCAAATCTTAAATGATGTATTGTTGTGGCATGTGAAACATTTGGCTAAATTGGATGCAATATAACAATGTTATCTTGTAGATAACACAGTTGTATCCCAGAGAAAATGTCTAATCATTTTTAATATATTCAATCAAGTTTTCATTGCATCTAATTCTTCTTTATGCTCCGTGCTAACAATTCTTCAAAATTTTGATTTTAATTCGAAACTTCTGTATTTAATATTTTGGTTATCTCTTGGGTTTTGAATTTTTTTTTTAAAGTCCAAATAAGATCTTGTTTTATTTTATCTCTTTATTTACTTACTTTGATTTTGACAACAGTCTAATTTGTGTTATTAGTTCTTTTTCAATGAAAACTGATGAATGTAATCACATGAAAATAAAAACCATGGCAGGACATCATGAACTCAAAGTAAGTCCAAAATCAAGAGGAAAATAAAGGCTGGAAATCCAAAATATCGTGAGAAACACTCCAATAGACAAGTGTATTATAATTCTTTGTTCTATATTTGAACTACCGTACTTCACAAAATAAATGCTTCACAAAAAAATCACTATTCAGAGAAAACACGGCAATGTTTAATGTTAAAGTGATTTTTTGTTCACAGAAAAAACACAATCATAGATTTTTATAAAGTAATCACCCAAAAATTTGGCAAACAATATCAAACCGTCATATATATCTCGAACCCGTCATAACCCACGATATCAATATGACAAAGACACATTTTGCTTGTTCTTCTTAGTTTGAAAACTTTCGTTTCTTGTTGTCTTTACTTGTTATCACATGTAATTGCCAGAAATGAAGAGGTTCTTGTTGTCAAATCCTGAGTATCAAAAGTGGATGGATGCTGAAAATCGGAGAAAATTGCGAAATGAATGTTGAGTATGTTTCACGATTGATTCGTCGTGAATTCTTTCCACAACTTCATCCAGAGACTGTCAAGTCGTCAGCAATGGCAAGCTCGAAGGATATCGTCATTGAGGCAGGTCAACGGCAACTACACCGTGCTTTGATGAAGTAGCTTCTGAAGTGGGTTGGATCGAAGGCTGAAGTAAAGCAAACAACTTCCTTATATCGTACAATGACTTGAGATTAGAAATCAAAATCTCTCTTTTTCTATTTCCACAAGTCGCTTGGAAATATGGACTCGGAATTGACGTGCTTTATGTTCTCGATCAACCTGATGACCTTTCAAAACTAAATCACAAGGAAGATGTACTGCAGCAAGTGGGTGCAGTATGTTGATTCTTTCAAAGTCTCTGATATCTTTTGTGCACTTCTTGCCGATTATCGAGAAAACTATTAAGATGTGTACGTTTCAAGCAAGGTGGAGGTGGATTCAAAACTTTAGAACTCAACTTCAAGCCATAGGTAACGTCATCTATCTGTCACTTCTTCACATTCAGTAATCAATTGATTTGGAGTAAGAAGTTTTTTGTATTTTTCCATCATTTGCAACCTATTTTGAACCGCAATAAAGATTTCTTTAACTTTGAAAATAGTGACTCAAACGTGAGCAAAATAATCACTATCGGGGGCAAAATCCTTAACTATTAACGTTAAGACCATCACTATTTGAAAAGATTAAAAACATATATTTTGTGAAGTAGGAGAATAGGTTGAAATGTACAAACAACAACAAAAAAGTACAAATTTACATCTGGTATTCAGGTTGTGCTATGGGAGAATGTGTAAGATTCCTGGGGGATGGGGAAACCCAAAGATGAGCAATTGGTTATGAGGCCTAACGAACCATTTTGACGACGAGACTTTCAGAATCGTGGTCAAGCAATCAGGAGCGGCTATGTGTTCCAACTCAAGGGTCAGGCGAATTTGGTTACCATCGAATATCTGGATACAAGAGAAAATCGTCGTGTTGAATATGCAAGTGTACCTTGTCTACCAGAAATCTTGGCAAGGTTTACTGAATGATGGTCAATCTGTGCAGGCCACCGTTGACAGCATCCGACCCGATCGGATGTCTTCAGATGCAAGCGTCAATGCACAGAGATCAATCCATCCATACCGTAGTAGCATGTTTTCCACACTCACAGGCCAGTTTCAGTCGCGTATGAAATTGGGTGTTGATGATCAGAAACTGATTGCCTTTCTGTAACACGTCAGTCGGGGCTGTTCTCAGAGACAGCCAGCCTCTAGCAGACTGATATGGGACTCATGGGATCGAAGGAACGAATCTCGGTCTCCTTCGAGGACTTCTTCCTGCTGCCCTGTCAATCACGGTGGACAGCGAAAGCTAGTGGACACAACTTCATCCAGCCCATTTCTGTCGAGATTTTTTGAAAATTCGAAACGAAAATTCAGTTTGAGAATCTGGACCTTCTTATGCTGGACAGAAAAGTCGGTCGGCGAATTGTTCATGGCTGCCAAGTGAAGACGGGTCTCCGGGTCTTGATTACGCTCGCTACTGCTGCTGAAGCAGCAAGAAAGATTGAGAGAGAGAGAGAACTAAGACGAATGACCCAACATGATTTTGAGATCTGAGCCACGGGCAGCTCGTCTGTCCTTCCCAATCTTGTACATGATATGGTTCTCTCCACATACCAAGGAACGGACGAAAGTAAGCTCATGCAAAAGATGGAAACGGCTACTTACTCTGCATGAACTAGGTCGCATTCCCGCATTTACTGCCCATCGTAGTATTATCTCCACTTTCGTTTCCAGACTACTGCAAGTCTGTTTGTTTTCTGAATGTGATCTGTTCCAGCGGACGTTATGATTCAGACAAAAACACCTCCCAGCGTCTGTTTTCGGCTGCACGAAAACAATCGAATCCAGTTCTCTGTGTTCCTGTGCTCGACTGATTTGCCCAGGAAATGCAAATTGAGTTAGTGGACGACTTCGCTCTGTCTTCTCTAGGAGCATAACCGTCTGACTCATATGATTTTCTAACATCCAAAATCCAAAATCCAAAATCTTCACATTTCAAGAACTTCAATTTTTCACCATTCAGAAGTTCCAGATTATGTAAACAGTTCATGTTTGCAGTGAACACCTGGCCACAGAGATTTCGAACGCTATCCAACGTGTCATGTTTCTAACTAGCGTAGAGGCAGTGAGCTTCAGGGGTTCGATAGCAGAGTTATACCACGTGCTGGACTAAATGGCCTTTAAGGTGTATGCATTTGAATGATCGATCACACAACTTCACACAGCCTCGAGCGCATTACAGACACATCCTTGTAATGCTTGCTCATACAGAACATGATCTTCGGCCTGGGTAACAGGCAGTGCACAATTCGAAGGCCACACAATAGGTACTCACTGTAAAAACTTCCACATATATTCTACGAAATAATTCCAACTTCTACTTTCTCCGAATATAAAAAAATATCGTAATATTCAGAATGAAGTTCTTCGGCCATTCTATACTACTGTAGATAAATGTTTGCGGACACCTTCTTTTGCTACTCGAACAGAGGTTTGTGCTGACAGGAGTAATATTTAGACTTAGTACACTTACAACTGATCAAAAATTATGCAACATTAGTCCAAAACATCAAACGTCACATTGCAGGCTGATTTTGTACATTGCTCAATAAGTCGAATAGTGAGCTAGGCACACACGTACAAGGTTTGCTAGTGAAAGATTCCGACGTCGTTTGCATAAAATCCTACGAAATCTTCAACATATTTTTCACCGTTCTCTAACTTCACCATTCACACTCAGGTTCCAAAGAGCAGAAGAAAAAGGTGTCTAGGAAACTTCTAGGTTACATAGATAGCAGATGGTACTAAGAGCAACTCAAGATACATTCAAGCTGCTTCCTTAAAATCGGAGATCGTTAAGCAAACTTCCAAATTCCAATGCCGGCGCTCCACAGACGTAAAACTCGTCTACATATAAGAGAGTTCCAATACAAACAACTTATCGCAAAAATGTGTCCTCTTATTGAACAGCTGGGTAACATCTTTTCAAGATTTTATCTACACTGAATTGATCTTTTCCTTTCTGTACTTCTAATTGTGCCACCTGCTCATCCTGAATAGTTTTCGAGGGTCACTACTACATACTCTCCAGTCCACTAAATTCTGCCTTCCAGTTGCAGTCATTGACGATTATAGACCGTTTCAACTTGAGAAAATTCTCTCACAAATATCACTAACAATTTCTCGTGCCACAATCGACCTGAGCTGGCCTTCGAGATTTCCAAAATGTCCACAACCTTAGACAGAGAGATGTGTCATTATAACCATTACAATATTGGTGCTGCTCCACAAACAAAGAGCCAACACCTGAAGACCAATGAACCCCTCGTTTGAGGAATAAAAATATTATATAGTAATTTTTCATTGCCAAAAACTTCACTTCGAGCGAGTGCCTGCCCTGTGTTATGTGGGTGTAAGCGTATACCCACTCATGTCTAAAGAAGGTGTCGAATCTCCTCTCAAAACGCGTCGACAATTTTGGAAACCATGGTACTCCAATGTTATACTCATCGTTCCAAACAACGCAAGCCTTCGTTCGATCGTGAACAGGATCGATATGATGTGAGGGACGCTCAAGATGTTACAGGCTTACAATCTGCAACGAACAGAACTAAGTATCAGCGACAGAGGATTGCGACCTCTTGAATCCAAAGCACTATCGACTGTGCGTAAATGTACGCGTCAAAGAAAGTTCCTGTCCTAAGCCCACCTAGTTGTTAAGAAGCTGTCGGAGAACGTAGTGCAAAATTCCTCCGTGTTCGAAGTAGGTCAATTCCACCTGTACAGACGAAGAGGTCTTATGAGCATCTACAAATAATTTACTGTCAACATGTAGGACAATACAGGCCAACCGCCAACGACGTGAAAATGTGCGCTGTTCTTTCACGTCCTTGGTCAAAGATAAAACATCAGTGATTTGAGGCAATCAGCTTACCGCAGTGTCAAATCGAAGGGTGCAAGTAAATTCCTTGCCGCCGTCGGTTTTGACAACCACATCTTGGCCGGGTTTGATTTGCTTCACGTCAGTTGGCAAGTCAATGGTGAATCTTTCGTATCCAGTAAGTCCCAGGGTGTCGGCATCTTCTCCCTTCTTGAAGCAAAGGGGAATAATTCCCATACCCACCAAATTGCTTCGGTGAATACGCTCGAAACTCTTGGAGATAACAGCCTTCACACCTTGCAAGTACGGGCCCTTGGCAGCCCAATCACGGGAACTTCCACTTCCGTACTCAGCACCGGCAAGAATGACAGTTTCGTGACCCTCCTCTTGGTATTTCTGGAAAAGACATGACAAGAATAGACTTCAGCACCTCCGACTTGATCATCTCCCAGAATGTAATACTAGAGCATAAAATGCAGTGAAAGAACAAGAAAAGTAGTGACCGAACAAGAGTGAAAGGATAAAACATTTTTAAGCTCCGAGACGGATTTTCTTACCTTCGCTGCCTCGTAAATAAACATCTTCTCTTTGGTTGGTACGTGAATGGTCTTAGGACCGACCTCGCCAGACAAAAACTTGTTCACAATACGAATGTTGGCAAAAGTTCCACGGGCCATCACTTCATCGTTACCACGGCGACTTCCGTAGGAGTTGAAATCCTTGCGCTCAACACCTCGTGACATTAAAAACTTGGCAGCTGGGCTGTCCTTGCTGATGTTACCAGCGGGAGAGATGTGATCGGTGGTGATGGAATCACCGAAGTTGAGAAGACAGTACGCATCCTTCACACCGTGACCACCTGGGGGGTCCTTCGTCATTGTCTTGAAGAACGGAGGTTCATGGACATAGGTTGATTCCTCATCCCAAGCGTAAAGATCACCCTCGGGTGAGGAAAGCTTGTTCCACATGGCATTGCCCTTTGTAATGGTTTCGTAATTTGATCTGAACATTTCTGGAAGAACAGCCTTCTTCTCAACCTGTTCACAACAGAGCTCATTGTGTTAGAGCCAGCTCACTGCTGATGCAGGTATCATCGTCATGGAAAACCAACCTCTACCAACCCACAAACATCAAAAGTTAAGGTCCAGACAATACACCAGGCTCCAAGCTCACCTCGGCAATTTCCTCGCTGCTGGGCCAGATGTCTGCCAAGAATACAGGCTTTCCATCCTTGCCAGTACCGATGGGCTCCTTGTCGAAGTCGATGTTCACAGTTCCGGCGAAGGCATAGGCCACGACCAAGGGAGGTGATGCCAAGTAATTGGCACGAGTCAAAGGATGGACACGACCCTCGAAGTTCCTGTTTCCTGATAGAACCGCGGCGGCGACGATATCGCTGTCAGCGATAGCTGCGGCAACCTTCTCATCGAGCTCTCCAGAGTTTCCAATGCAGGTGGTGCATCCGTAACCCACCAGACTGAATCCCTGCTGGTCCAAGTACTTGTTCAACCCACTTTCCTGCAGGTACTTAGTAACGACACCAGAACCGGGCGCAAGACTGGTCTTGATCCATGGCTTCACCTGCAAACCCTTCTCAGTTGCCTTCTTTGCAAGCAGACCGGCACCGAGCATGACAGTGGGGTTGGATGTGTTTGTGCAACTGGTGATTGCGGCAATAACGACGTCACCATGCTTGAGCTCAGCGGGCTTTCCATTGAACTCAAACTTAGCAACAGTTCCTTGGTCTTCTTTGGGGATTCCAAAACCCTTGAAGCCGACCTTGTTGTTCAAACAAGCTGCCCAATCTTTCTTCATTTCCTTCAAGGTCACACGGTCGTGTGGCCTGTACAAGGCAAATTTCGTTAGCACGCAGAATAAAGTAGCAAGATAAAAAGACCGAAAAAAAGTTCAAAAAATATACATAATAATAACATTACGAAAATAAAGGGTAATAAATTAACAAAGCTCACCTCTTGGGTCCAGAGATGCAGGGCTCTACTGTGTTGAGGTCAAGAGCCAAGTACGACGAATACACATTCTCTTCGGCTGGCTGCAAAATTTTTAAACAGCGCTGTCAACTATATGTACGATAGACGGCGTGCTCTGAATTTTGATGACAATATCTATGCTAAAACTCCACATCAGAGTGATTATCGGACTTTACCTTCTCGTAATCAATGAACATGTTGTTAGCCCTCAAGTAGGCTTCAATCATGTTGACCTTCTCCTCATCGCGACCAGTGAGTCTCAAATAATCTAGAGTAACACTGTCGACGGGGAAGAATCCCATAGTGGCACCATACTCGGGGGACATGTTTGCGATGGTTGCACGGTCGGCAAGAGAAAGTTCTCCCATACCATCACCTGTACCACAACAGCTCCGGTTTTAAACTCACGAGACAAGTAACAAATATTCTTCTTGCCATAAACTTCACGAAACAGGGTAACATTGCCAGCCCACAACAAACTGGAAGCCCAAAACTCACCGTAAAACTCCACAAACTTTCCGACCACTCCGTGCTTCCTCAACATTTGAGTCACAGTGAGCACCAAATCAGTGGCAGTAACTCCAGTTTTCATTTTTCCAGTCAGCTTGAACCCAACCACTCCTGGGAGAACCATGCTCATGGGCTGCAGATTCCACAATATTCAAATCAGACACTGTAGGTAAAGCAGGTGCGCAAATTCCAAATCAGCCATACGGAAACAGGAAAAGATTTGTATAAAAAAAAACACGCCCGCACTCCGTGCGAGATTCCTATGAGATTAGGCTTCTTACTTGTCCGAGCATAGATGCTTCGGCTTCGATACCACCTACTCCCCATCCGGCAACTCCCAAACCGTCAATCATAGTGGTGTGAGAATCCGTTCCCACAAGACTGTCGGGATAGAGAAGTCCAGAGTTGTTGAAGACAACTCGGGCCAAATATTCCAAGTTGACCTGCACAATTACCCAAAACCAGGTTCAGATCCCGTATTAAGACAATGTGACACGAATAACTGGAACACGTCATCCACATTGAAGTCAGCCAATCTAGTAATGACGTTAGATAACAACAACAGGACAAAAGCTTGGGATATCAGGTCATTAGTAGCATAATACAGTACCTGGTGCACGATTCCAGAACCGGGGGGCACCACAAGCATGTTCTGGAACGCAGTTGCACCCCACTTCAAGAAAGCAAACCGTTCCTTGTTGCGGCTGAACTCCAACTCCATGTTGCTCTGAAGGGCATTCGCTTTACGAGCAACATCCACCTGCACGGAGTGATCGATGACGAGGTCCACTGGCACCTGCAATCACAGACAAAGACAAACAGAGACCCGTCAAAGGAGAATCAAACGTCTCGCTTTGCTGGCTCTCCTTCTGTGTACAATAACCTGAGCATCGGTGTTCAAACGCGCTCATTCCGACAGAAACAAGGAGTAAATCAGCGATTACTGCAGAGTAGAGATAATCTTCGTCCTACTAGATCAATATGAGCTGGTGAGTGACATGCATCAGAGATTCCACCAAACCTTCAATGTCATATCCATCCACCACACTTACCAAGGGGTTAATCTTGGTGGGGTCACCTCCCAATCGCTTGATAGCGTCTCGCATGGCAGCAAGATCTACGACAGCTGGGACTCCAGTAAAATCCTGTATGCATCATGTCCCACAAATATATAAGTTGGAACTCTTGAATCCCTCTCGGCACAATAGTACCGAAAAAAGTAACAAAAACTACACTTGGCACCAAAACATTAAGAAAACTTTCAAGTTGCGGCTCTAGTAGATCGAATGACCCTAAGCAACAACATGCACTTTCAGACGTGCGCAGTACCTGCAAGAGCACACGGGCTGGCTTGAAGGGGATCTCGACTTGCTGGGGGGAAGTTTTCTCCCAGTCAATAATCTTCTCGACATCCTTCTCCAAAACCTGGAAGTTGTCGCAGTTTCGCACAGCAGACTCCAATAGGATTCTGATGGAGTATGGGAGCTTGTCTGCAAAGAGTGCATGCATGAATCCTCAGACGTCGTAACAACGCTAGTTCCTTGCACTCATTACAGATGAACATGTATGGAAGGAAGTCCGTTGCCGAGACATAGGGCCTGGAAGAATAAACAATGTAGTTCAACGTATGTAATCGAGCTCATCCTCTTCATCAAACTTACCAATTCTCTTGTCGCCCAATTTCGGCAAACTGTAGAATTTCCCATAGGATCCTCCGCCTGGCTTGGGGAGGTCGGTCAAAACTTCGTTGAAGGGGTTGTTTGAAGAACCTACACCACCAAGATCACGCGAATCCAGTAAGTCACTTGGCCAACGACCAATCACAGATCCCACCTTCACAACTGATTGATCGACGACTCACAGATCGATACACATCCATAACCCTCCTGACAGGTCTAATAGTCGTACTTCTGACTACCCAGTCCGTGTGCATCATCAACGTCAAGTCTCATCCGACATTCATGATCAATTCCGCTCCTCGGTGCGTGAAGCCCTGTGCTCCTCTACTCCCCAACGACGACGGGACATCCAGTTTCCATCGCCAAGGAAGCACTACTACCGTCGCAAGGTGGCCTGCGCCTTGAAAGAGACCAAGTTCATTCGCCAGCAACACTCGCTCGAGAGCAAAGACACGATTCTCATTATTCATTAGCACTCGAATGCACAACCAGAGGAAATTTGCCGCCGCACGGCTTGCACAGGGAAGAGCTGAGAGCGCGGTCGTCCACAGAAACATCTCAAGGTGCGAAACGGCGAAATTTCGCGACACCTCCACCATGACGTTAGAACAAGGGTCCAAGCGACGCGAATGCGGTTAGTCAAAACTCTCGGAGAGCAGCATGCGGGGCTCTGGAGCATCGGGCTTTCATCCAAGACCGGCGCTCATGAGGGAGAAACGGACTGGAAAAAGAAGTGGAGGGATTGGAGTGTATACCCATGGTCGAGTAGCCCCTGGACGACGACGACGACCTCGAGTCTAGAGATCCTCCGGCGGCACCGGCGACGCGAGCGACGCTAGCACTGATGGACGAGGAGCAGAAAGCAGGGCCTCCGCGGTGCAAAGAAATGGAAGCGGCAAAATTGGGGTTTCTCAACTGGGAGGATCCGAGCAAGTGAGATCGCAGCCTCAATTGCAGATTGGCAACCACGCCGCGGGTGCTTTGGACGACGGGGTCGGATCGAGCCAAGGGTGCGACGGCGGAAGGGAGAGCGGCCGTGTGCGCAGCTCTGGAAGACGAGGATGAGGCAGCAGTGGAACTAGTGGAGTTTTCTGCTGCAGACGCAGCTTGCTTAGCTTGTCTGCGAGACAGAGCACGGCCTGCACGGATCAAAGTCGGTGCGTGTGTGGTGATGTGCATGCTGGACGGCCCACTTTATGCAGAATTAGAATTTCGGGCATCAGAAATCCGAGCCCCGATTTTCTAGCCCGCCGCTCCCCGTCTTACGAACCCAACTATCGGATCGGTGACGAGGAAGGAAGGAAAAAGATTGGATGAGGATGATTGCACGACCTGAGCCTCTTCCTCCTCCTCCTCCTCACTCTCTCTGTCTGCTCTGTCTGCGTCCTCGGTCCCTCTCTCTCCAATCCTTATACCGATCTCTCTCTCGCTCGCTCGCTCGCTCAACTCAACTCAACTCAACTCTCTCACTTGCCTGACTTACTTTCCCCCACCCCCTGCGTCCCCTTCTTCAACTCCTCTTCGACTCCCCCGGGCACTCTCTCTCTCTCTCTGTCCTCTTCCTCCTCCTCCCGTCTCCCTGGCCTCGCTACCGCAGTTGCGCTCCTCGTCTCCTCGTCCCCCTGCGCCTCCACCTGCTGCTGCCCCGCCCGGCCCCGCTCGCCCTCTCGCCTCCTCCGATTCGTCCGATCTGTCGGATTCGGCCCGATCCGCCCCTGCGCTGCTCTTTTCGTCAACCCTCTAGGGCTCCCCGGGCGCGGACGCGCACGCCCTCCACAAGCCCCCCCCCCCCCCCCCCCCTCGCTGCAGGTCGTCGCTCGGACTCCGCACTCTATGAACTCGACGACGACGGAATGTCGACGATGAGCATGCATCCGCGAACAACAGTGGCTCCGAGCTCCGAGCCCTTCGCAATTTTAGAATATCCTCCTCTCGGTGCCTGCCACTGTCGCCGTGCCGCCGTCGCTTTCGCAATTGCCCTGATTTTTCTACTCCACGACCTCCTCCGACGAGCCTGTTTCCGAGCTCGTCAAACGAATTCGGAGGTAGTCGAATTTATTAATAATTTTTATTATAAGCCTATTGCGTGCTACGGCCTTGGAAACCGACCAGCTTCGATACTGACGGGCTGCGGATTTAGGGCCCTAGGTTTGGCTTCAAATTTGGGGCGGAACTAGAGGTTCGCATCGATTTGCTTTCTCTTTCCGCGAAGGAGCAAATTGCAATAGTGATCGAGAGTCCAGATGCCTCACGGAAAATTGGGGGGATCCGTTGCCACAAGAGACATGAAGATGCGACCCACTGCAATGCAGCTCCTTTCGCTGAGTGCGCTCTTCCGGCGTTCTTAAGTTCTCGGAGGAGGCACTTGCCTTTAGCAGGGAACGCTGCCATTTTATTCAGAAAAAATAAAATTCGTTCCTAAGATGAATCTTACCACACTTTAGAAAAAACTTGATTAACATTTTTTTTCTAAGAGACTTCCGAGATCCGAATTTGGTTGCATTCATTCGATTGAGAAAAATCGTGTGGATATTGTACCCTAGGTTTCACAAACTGAAGGGCTTCACAAACCTTTATTTTTTTTTGGAGTATTTTGTTCATAGATCTAAAACCTAGAAACTCCAGTCCGAAGTTGCAACGACTGAGGTCGTCGATGTAACCTTGGGTTGTAGAAGTCGGCCCAACGGTGTAATCATCGGCGGTTAAATAAACCCGAGAGTTTGTTCAGTAAGTGTTAGGATCTCCCTCCATGAACGCACATGACGGACCAGCGGCGAGCCGAAGAAAAAATCGGCATTCTTTCCAGCATCTTGGAGGACTTGAATTGTAAGAATTTAAAGTAAAGTCCGGAGTTCGCGAGAATCCGGAACAGAAGTATCCAAAAATGGGAATAAAATGGAAAGAATCTCGTTAGTTGTCCATCCATCCGCTCAAAAAGGGCAGTGAGCGCTAGTAGACACGAGCGATCGACCTTCTTCTTCATCCATACCCACTAACCGGACGGCGGACGGAGCCATGGACGCCTGTCGAGGGCCGCTGCTGTTGGGAGAGCAGGTGCAGGAGATGAAGATGAAGATGCAAGATAGGGACGGAGAGAAAATAGAGCGGTAGGAAACCTCCGCCAACAACTCCACCCTTTGGAGAGACGGTCACCTCGCCACCCTCTCGATTCAGGACCAAATGCTCTCTAACGGGTCACTGCCCTGCTCCAGTCCCTCTGCTGACCCCCAATGGCCATGTCTCGCCAAGTGGGGCCCTTGTTCCTTTCACTTCAGGGCTGGATGGCTGGCTGGATGGATGGATGGCTCCATCTGCCGACCTCCCTTTGCAGCCGTGAGTGGGGATGTGACATGATCTGCTGCTTCTCGTTGTTGTGGCTGGCTGTGATGTGAGTCTAGAGGCCAATTTCATGCTCACTTGAGCATTTGGAGACTCTGAACGATCTCATCCGGGTGGAAATTCGACACCGAGACGAGACGACGAAGCTTGTGTACCACGATCTCGAGTCGCACTCTCTTTCTCGGGGAAATCAGTTTCTGAGCTCGAACGAATGTTCCAGGTTGACATAGTGACTGACTGTCCGTGCTCCGTCCTCAAGGGCCCTCGAAAGTGTTCGGTTCGAGGTTTCCCATTCTCATGTGCCTCTGGAAGCGTCGCTGTTTGACCTCAGCTTTAACTGCAGAAAAGGTGACAAACTCTCGCATTTTCCCGAGCCTCGGACCTAGTCGCGGTCTACTCATGTCAACCGAAGACATGCCTCAAGAAAGTCCTCGTCCTGGACCAGACAGTAGATCTACATGGTGCGCTGTCTTTGGATGGAATTTGGTCTTCTGTCAGTGTCCTCTGGACCAGTGCAGTAAATAGCTCCACAAAACAAAAGCTGTCAAATAAAAATATTCACTCGGCCCAAGGACACATACCTATAGGCAACCGGGTATTACCGGCTCGAAAGAAATCTGACTCGTAGCACTGTAGGCTGCGTGCCACTTCCGGGTGTCAATTAAATACGGAATCTAGATCTGGACGACTGACTTGGCATACATGTTTTAGTTCTGCCAAGTCGAAGACATGGCTGAAGTTGGTGACATGCTTCGTCATATGATTGGGATTACGAAGAGGACCCACTTGTGAGTATGGACTGGCACGACACATGGCAAGGTCAATTCTGCAGACCGGTACAGTTCTCCCCCTCGTATGGAGAACATCATGCAGACGCATTATTCAAACGCATGTCTCCCATCCTCTACGCTATATTACTTGCTCGTGCACTTTCGTTCTCTTATTATAAATTCCTCGTAATTATTAAACACGGTGAATTTGGGTTTCTTCGACTCGCTCTTTTATTCTCTCGCCTGTACTTCCTTCATGTGTTATCGCCGATTTTGCCATCATTTTCTTAAGTCATGACTGTAGATAATTTTCTACTCGACGTGTGCGAGAGGAATTTCTCAACAATAAGATAGGAGTTATGACATGTCAAGGGAGGCTCGGTGACTCGAGTGACAACTGAAGCATCCCACTTGCAAATAGTTCGTTTGATAGTTAAGGCTTTGCCTCTTTTTATTTTCCAATTATTATTTTATTCTGTACTCCAACGAATTGTATTATTCTATTGTCATCATAAAAAATACATTAAAGATTTGAAGAAACTACAAACTTCTTGTATATTGGTTGTAATTTTGTTTTATGTCTTAAAGTTTCATACTAAAGACAATAAAAATGAAATGATCCATATTCATTCGTAGTCAAGATAACTTGATAATTGAGGATTTGCAATAACTTAAGTATCAAATTGAGTTTACTCTTCTCTATGATAACATCGAATGTACATCAGAGGAAACAAAAATTCTTTGCTCGAAGTGGTTTTCTTCTTGCAAAGTCTCTTGCGAAGAGAAGTCTCAGGGTTTTTTTCTCTGTGCTCACCATCCCGCACCCGACTGCTTTGTGACGATGCGTAGATTCACAACAAGATTAAAAAATAAATTAATAAATATAAGAATAATAAGACCATACGTGAGCAGGATTAGGTTCATGTGGACATGGGGATGTGCTGGAAGAGAACGGTGTTTTCACATTTTGAGACTTATGAGTACAAACGTGAGCAGGACAAACAAAGAGTGTCCATGTAAAGCTCTCGAATGCGAGTAAAACTTTCGCAATACTTACTACACCTATTACATATTCTTCAAGGTTACAAGAAAATCCGTAACGGCATTCTCTCGTGAAATCAAACGAGTAACAAGTAAATATAATAAAGTAACAATCATTCTCGTGGAGCAATTAACAATTGCAAACCAACAACCAAACTACGCATGGTCATAACCAACCGGTCTTGGCGATCTTGGAGTAACATGAGGCCATGCCAGCGGTGGGAAAAAAAATGAAACAAAAGAGGATGACATCTTTGGGGCAATCAGATCATTTTTCTCATTAAATAAAACGTGGCTATATAAATAATGAAATGAAAAAAACTACGAGAAATAAAACGACAATTAGCGTCGAAAAGCGTAGAAACCTGACTCGAAGAGCCAAGCCTACCCGAAACAAAAATGCTAACTCGAGGTTGTCCCGGCCAAGGGTTAGGGTTAGTCTGGCAGGTGAGGGAGGCGAGGCCCTCGGGCTGGCAAGGCTATGAACCAGGGAGCGGAGAGACAGAGGAAGGACAAATGGAAGGCGCGTGGGTAGCGTGCGCGCATGGGCTGATGTCCATGACCTTTACGAGCCACGTGTCGGACCATCAGGCGGCTGCGAGAACTCTGTGATTGATATGGCCACGTCCTGTTCCCCTGTCAGCGTTAGCAGTCACCGGCTGCTCACGGTTGCCGAGATCGAAATTCCCTGTCTTTCCGCGCAATAAAATGTCTGACAGTAAGGACGTGAACGAATTAGTTTTTCTCTTTAGTGAAAAATGATTCACTGAGTAGAAAGACATTTCTCTCGGTGATTCTGCACATTCTGTAAACCTAGAAGCATTCGGGCTAGATGATTATAAATGTGGGAAAGCATGTAACTGATAGATAGAGCCCGAATGGACTGGGCTCTATAAAACGAAGGAAGAAGCTTGAGGGAGATTGGGGCAGCAGTGCGGAGGAGAATTATTAGTAAAAAATTGACGATAAACAATGATTAGAAAAGAATTTAAATGTAATAGAACACCTTCCTACATTCATCTTTAGAAACCCCCTATAATGACAGAATTTGTCTACTGTAATTAATAACCTCAATCGTTTGCTGACGTCATATCTGGGAGTCTCACCAAATCGAAGTTCTCACGACATAGACAACGGAAGATGAACTGTCTAAGAAATGACAAACTATCGTTAAGAATAAAGAAAGTCAATCGAGCTCATTTTTTAAATGCATCGGAACTTATTATCCAAAAACCAGGAAAAGTCTGAAGTCTACACCGGTGGGTTCATATTCTCCAATAAGATAGAGCATACGTCGTCTGTGTACACTCTTATCCAGTACTTGATATGGTGACCCAAAAAAATCTTGATTGGATGCAGTAGTTCAATGTTCATTTGAGGTAGTTGGAGAAAAACCGAACAGACGGAATCGAAAACAAGATGAAACCCCATGATCAGAGATAGGTACAAAGCAAAGGCCAACCAAGGCTCGGGGAAGCTCAACGCAAAAGCCAAAAGAAACCAAGAAAAAATCAGTCTCCATACTTTAATTTTTTTTCAACTGAGGCTTTTATATCATATGTAGGCAAGTTGGGTAAGAAAAAAATATTAACCATCAAATCAATATTCCTCTTCAAGGCTGTAACTAGGGTCATGAGCAAATATCACTCATCAATTCCAAAAAAAAACTCTTACTTTTACAAGTTAAAGCTTCCAGTAGCGCTATGCAGATACGCTTATCAAATATGCTGAACGCAAAAGAATACAAAAGGAGTGAATATATATGGTCTTAATATACCTGCCTAACCAATCAAGCATGACGTGTTCATGTAGCTGTTTGTTTGAACTACTGCTAGTACGTTAATGTGAAATCTAACATATTCCTAGAGTTTTTCTAAAGAAAATAGTAATTTATGGACCACCCAAGACTTTCTACAAACAGGGGTTAAGATAGGGAAAGAATAAAGCAGCCTCTTCGCTTGCAATATATCCATGATCTTAAGTACCAAACCCAGCAATTACTTCAGGAACTCCGGTATAAACTATAGATTATTTACAAACGCATCTTCTTTCGGTAGTGCAATACATCAGTACATACATTAGATTCCAAAGATACAGAGATACTCGGAACATAAAGTAAATAGATACTCTGAACCGCAAGATTATAGAGAAATAACGTGCTGAGTCATCAGATGCTAGAAAGTGAACAGCGTCCCTAAAGCTCAGAAGTTGCAGTCAGTCATAGAGATCAAAACTCGGAAAATTAGTTGACCCATGAAATTTAAGAGTGGGTCCAAATAGACTAGACAGTGCTCTATCGAGGAAAAAACCGGCTAGAGGCAATCGGCACCGGTGATAACGGGTTTCCCCATTTTCTCTAAATAAAGAAATGTCTTCTGCTGATGATGAAGATTTTGTAATTCCATGGTAAACTGGAGAATCAGTTAGCCGACGGCGCTACTTAGGCCTCTATCTTCAGAACTGATCCACGCTTCGGACAACTTGGCCCTGGACTAACTCAATTAGTAAGTCAACAATCACGTGGAAATCTGATGTCAAGCACTAACTGCCGTGTAACCTCCATCCTGTCCCACTAACTTTGGCCCCTTCCAGGAACCTTTTACCCCTCATCTCGGACCGGACGGGCTCCAACCTCGTGCCAACTTTGACCCTCCCTTTGTCTCCTTCGGTAAATGACACTCCATTGCCAGCTTTCTGTATTCCATCCAATCACAACGTTGATTCTGCGTTTCTTCCATCTTGTGAATATCTCGTTCAGCATCATCGCATCGCATGTCGAATTGCAATAAGTATCTCGCCTCCGTCGCTGACGACAGCGCTTCCATTTGAAAGATTCTTCTCCCTCCCTTCCTATCTCGTTGACGGATTCTCACATTAGAGTCTGCTGTGAGATGAACGAAGTTACTCAAGGGCCCAGAAACCCTTCGTGGTTAATTTACCTTCTTGGTCTGATGTCCTTGCCGCCAATGTTGTGGATGTTTTTTTTCCTCGACTTGTGTGATCATGAGCGTGTGACAACATCGCCAGTGTTTCTCGAGTCCACCACTGACATTGTATTCACGAGGCGAGTGGAGAGTAGCTCAAGTGAAACCTCGCCGGTCATGTGAGACTAAGAAGTATAAGTCCAATCTTTATGGCAAGTGTATACATATATCTTGAAAGTTCGACAGATCGTGGGGCATCCATGGGGATGACACTTCCACGGTTGGCTAATCAATCAATGAGAGATTACCCGCAAGAAGTTGGTGTTCTGACAGGTTCCATCGGCTTAAGAAAGCTAGCCGTAATTTGGTAGCGGGTGAATTGGGGATGTTCTTTGATTCTATTACTTCCTTCCCAGGTCCAAAGTCCTCTCTTTGTTTCGAGAAGCCATTGATGATTGAGTTGCCCTCATCAGCGCAGACAGCCACCGAGATGTCGGTCCGTTTTCGTGTTCTCAGCGTAAGGACAAAAGGAGGGATTCCGGATTCCCACATGACGTATGGTGGTATGGTAGTCTTCTCCTATTTTAGGTTCATATACCTGTAAATAACCCAAGACTCAGATGCGTATCCAACTCAGCGTTCTGTAGGACTGCACCAATTTGTGGAGGCTTTGACGGAAACCTCGTACAATATTCTTGTAGGCATGGGAAAAGTGTAATCTCAGGGATGTTTTCGAAGCGAAGAATCTCACCCATACGATAAAGAAGAGTGCCGTGGTTACCCCACAGATCTGCAAGTCAGCTGTGCTCAACGTCATAACCGACTCATCTGAGTCATAGGCGATCAGTCAGAGTCGATTCATGCTCATCAACTTCTAGTGATCACCGTTGGAAATCCAGCAGCAGATTGGATCTACCGCCTGCAAGACTTGTCGTCGATGATATAAAAACTCCAAGCAAGGAAGCAACCTCATTTGTGAAGAAACGAAAGGGTTTTTAACCTTATGGACCACTCCATCTCCCTCACTCGTCGTTCCATGAACTCTGAGTCACAGTTCTAGGTTTGCAATACACTCGTTGTGGAGTTCCGATAGATAAACTGTGTGCTTTCTACATTTTTGATTAACCTCCTTTAAGTTTACTGCTGGCGGAATCTCGACGGGTTAAAAATAGTTTCGAATAGAGTGCTCGGTGAGTTCTCCATTGTGGTTAGTCTTTCATGAGTACATTTCATCTCGTCAAGAGTATTGTCGAAAGATTGCAAGCTTCGATACCTGTATTCAACCAGGAAGTCAGGAAGCTGGGGGAAGCCTTCGTCGTTGTGTACACATTTGCCACAAACTTGTAAGCATCATTGCCTGATCTGGCTGTTTCCGTTGTGAGTGTCTATACGAATTGGTTCTGCTTCTATTTGATGTTTCAGACAGACGAGTCATGGTGATCTAGTTCACTACGATTAATTCATGTGTAAATGTCAGCCGACTCATTTGCATTGACTGACAGACTCACCTTCTTCCATGTCTGTATCTCTGTGAGTATGGGCTGTGAGATAGATTAAAAAAGTGAAGGGCAAGGTGATCGTTGGCTAGCACAGGCCAGTGTTGACATTACCTCTTTCGCTATCTCGAGGTTGGGCTATAAATGCGGAATGCATATTCTGTCAATATGATGTTGTGATTCATATTCATTTGAAAGGATTCTGACAGATCGTCAAAACTAACGACGATGAAGGCGAGCTCAGGTTCGTCATACTCACATCTTGCTTCTCAGCGGCAGAGTTGGATTTGCTCGCTTGCATATTCAAGTTTCGTGGGCATAAGATGTGGGTGCCAAAAATGGAATTGACTTCCAAGTCCTATGTCTGCCTCAGGACTGTTGATCATGGTAAGGAAGCTTCCAAATCGTGTCTCTACTTCTCCGGATCACAATGTCTTGTTGTCGGCCGGTTATCATCTAGGACGAAAGGAACTGTACCGTTTTTATTGTTCGACGGGCAGTGGGATGAGGAGGTGAACAGCTATGGCCATTTCGCCAGGCCTTATTATGAGACTCGAGTCTCATCAAATTCTGGTCTCACCAGGCCTTATCTGTGCAAGTCAAGGCATTGCTATATGTGTATGATTTTTTCAGCGTACTTACTGTAACTCTTGTATCTGCGTACACAGTCAGTGTTCAGAAGTGTGTTAGTTCTCAAACTCGATCATTATCCGTTGTACTCATAATGACTCCTCGACTCCTGCCTAGCTTCATTGCAGTCCGGTTAGGTGAAGAAATTAAGCTATTTACACTCATCTGAAAAGCTTCCTAGACGTAAGTAGTTGTAGAGGAGGCGGTAGAGCAGTACAAATGAGGATTTGTGAAGATATGTGGTGCATGTGGAACCTACTGTGGCAGACCCTTAAAGCTCGTGAACTAAATCCGCACGCCGGAGGTGGATGACTCTAAAGGTGGAATGATCGAAACAGTCCGCAAATGCAGGGCCACACTAGTCGCACACGCTTCTGCGACATAAGGTGAACAAGGTCACGACCTGGAGGTACGCGCCAGTAGCACGGACCACAGACCTTACATTTCTCGACTGCTGCTTGATCTCAAATTATCCTAGAGCTTACCTACAGTCGAATTTTACAGCTGGACCACCAGACCGGACTATAAAACAAGGCGGAAGCCAGATCAAGGTCCAAGAAAATGTATGTCAACCGGCGAAGCACGACCGAATTATGCAGGCAAGAGACTCTAGAAAAAGAAAAAGGTCAGAGAGTCTTAGACATTTGATCGGAAGATTCAGGGTCACGAAGCTTGACTGATTCCTCCTGGCTAATATACGTGAATCGGTGGTTTGATCACAGAGATACTAAGGCCGGATTGAGTTGGTTGTCGGTCAAAATCACCCGGATCACCAACAACTCAGAACTCAAGTAAAATGTAATTATTTGGCACCGATAAGAAACCAAAACATCAATACAAAGATGACTGAATACTGCAGGCAATACGGGATTAGATCCTGGAGTCCACACGAAGGGCTGAAAAGAGGATTCGGTGCTTCAGAAACTTTAAAATAAACAACGTGACGTAGACAGTGTAGCGTTTCAAAGTCTCATTGAACACTCACCTAAATAAAACTAAAGGCTCCTCAATTCCAAGACTCGATGATTGTCTTTTATTCATGGCTGCTAGAAGTAATCGGGATGCAGTGGACGAGTACCATCGAATACTGCAAGGATGGAATGCTCTGCATGGGTTTGCTGCGGCTGACAGAGGGAACAGGAGAGTGAACTGAACACCCAAGGTTGACAGGCGTGTGCAGGCAGTTTCAGACCCGATGTACAGTCTACACCCTTCACCTTCCAGATTTCGTATTACTTCCCATAAACACCTCGAGTCCCGATCGAGCAGGGCTGGTTTGCCATCTAAGTAGCGATTTCATGAAGCGGATTTGTAGCACTAAAAGCTGACGTTTGACCTCAGGAAAGTGCCATGCGTTCAAAGCCCGAAATGCCCTGAAGGCGAACGAACACGCGTCGAGAGAATCTATATGTAAAGCCGAGCTCTGGTTCTGGAATGTGCTCTCTTACGTCCGGAGTGTGGTTAGGGGGTAAGGGGAGGGGAGGGCCTACAGACAGGACACTCATGATTGAATCTCTTCCAGGTGGGTCAAGCACCCCGAACATTTCTCGAGGGAATCGTCCACTCACGAATGCCCACCGGCCTTCTAATGCTCGCGAACAACTCGGACAAGAACTCACAGTGCAGAGCACTGGACTCTCCCAGCGTGCAAATATCATTCGGGGACAGAAAAAAAAAAAATAGAGGTACCAATGGAATCCCACCTTAGGCAGCAACCCTCACCGTACGTATGGACTTTCGAGGACATTTTGCCACCTCCATCCTGAAAGAGGACAGAGAGACCAACTATGACAATGACGACCGTCGAGCAGTGACATCATCGACCTCTTGAAACACTGTGAGAGTAAGAAGGGGCCTAGGAATTTCTCGTTCCAGGGTGCCAATCGAGTAAAAGCGGACTTGATTTCCAGACAGAAGAAGCTCCGTCCTTCTTCTAGGGAAATGTGTGACTGCTGGCGTTGACAATTATCCCCTATCTGGAAAAGACGAATTCATAAAAATAATAGTTAATGATTTCTTGGCAACGGGAGTAGCTTACTTTGCTTCAAACACACGAACACTGATGGTTGCAGTTACGGTCCCGATTCTCCGCCGTCCTTAGATACATCCAGCATATAAAAGCGAGATTGTTTCGAGAGAAAGGCTTACTGTCCACCGAGTCAAAGGTTGGCATAAGGGCATGCTTGTAGCTTGTAACCGTGAGCACTTACTTTCTGCGCGTCTACCAAAAGCGAACCCAGGGAATTGAAATTTATGAAGAACGAACATTCCTACTCGAATCGGGAACGGGAGAAAGTCTCCTCTTGGGCCCAATTTGGAAGTATGTCATCCTGTTGTAACTAGTCACGTACCCGCTGACCGTAACCGAACGTGTTGGTGGAGGGAGTCATTCGCCTAGCCTAGTCCTGTGACCGCGCAACGATTGCACCTCTCCCATGCATTCTCCTCGACCTTTAATCCCTAACCGTTCGGTGCCTCGAAAAGGTTTGTTCGCCCGATGTACTCTCGGCTGCATCTTCTCGGCTCCTGGAGAGTACGATAGAGATCACATATCATACGGCTCGGGGACATGAAATAGAGAGATGCCTTGTCCGCTCGTTTCATTGCTCTCTGAGACTCTCGGAGTTTCCAACCAGGGGCACCGAGTAATAAAGCGAAAAGGATCTGAAGACCGCAAGGACATAGACCCACAGACCTGGGCAAAGGAGCTCGCTCAGTCAAGCTGCAGGCAAATCCACTCACTCTTCCACTCGCTGTCTGCCGTATTTACAGTATCAAGTCCACACCCATCTGGGCTACGGCGACTTCCAGAAGGCGAACGCTTGCAATATTCGCTGCGAAAACTCCCGAACACTGCTACGTGCTTTGGCCTGGATCGCGAAAGTGCTCCTTCATCTGCTGCTGTGAGTATCACGTGCTACCCTCGAGGTCGTATATAGATCGCTCTTGTTGCACGCCACTCGCTACGTACGGGCGTTATATACTAGAGGTTCACTTGGTTCCGTTGGCAGTTTCTCCTGATGCATGGAGGGAGATTTGTCTCGCTCACGAGTTGGCACGCGCTTGCTTATTGCCCGGACGCTGAGAATCGTTCTTTTCGCCACCTTGGAGCCTGCTCCGTAGCAGATCTGAGAGTCAGAGGCATTGACTTTTGAGCTCTGAAAGCACCTTTTCCCGGGATCGGACTGAACCTCGCTGCCTGCCTGCTGAGGTCGTCGAATACATCGATCCTCGCGCTGGCTGTGGAGATTAGTGGAGTGCATGACAGACCGATCGCTAGGTTCGCACGCACGTGATGCTGGGGGACCATGTAGACTGCCTTCGGTTGTTGCACGTGGCGATGCAGGGAGAGGTGGCTGAGTGTCTCCCTCCATGCCCAGCATATAGTTCTAAATCTCAATTCCCTCTCAGCGCTACATCTGCATAAGGCTTGCGACAGATCAGAAACTAGTCGGTGACGACATGTGAGCCTGTCGACAACTGTGTTCCCGCGCATTCGTCAGCGTCGCAGGGGTGGATTGACGGATGGCACCAACGTGAAGATCAAATATTGTATGAAGCAGGCAGCATCCTGCGAGACCAACGACATAACGGATTAGCAGCTCGTCAAACCCACGACTACAGCGATGATTCATGACTGGTGAGATCAGATTCGTGCGAGGTTCATTGGCCTTGCAGCGACGTTGCCATTGTAAATTACGAACGTAGATGCGTGGACATCAAATTCCGCGAATCTTTTGGACTGTTGAAATAAGCCCAGCCCGGTAGATTGAGTTACAGAGATCTATTACAGAGCTCCGTTGACTAGTTATAATTAGGACGACCATCTGCAACATGATATGCAAGCCACGAACACACAGCAATCAATTTCCATCAGCCTTCGTCAATGGCAAGCCATGTAAACACCAAGTGCAAGTTGTTGAGCTTCAGCCATTGCTGGGATGACAGCGCAAAAGTCAGCACTGTTCCAGTGGAAGCGAATCGCAACCTATGTGAGGAAGATGTTTTGGTCAGATCGAAGACAAAAGATCTGGATGTGGGGTGGACTTTCTGAAAACAATCCATGAGGCTAATAGAAATTCGTACACCAGTTTCAAAGCATGATGATACTTTTCCAGAACAAAGCGAACTCTGTATGTGACAAGTTTATAGACCTTGTATTTCATATTAGAAGGGCAATGGATGAAGCCGTTCTCACTGCAAAGCAACCATATGGATTGCTGCTGCATTGGTCCGTGGAGGTTTCCCACCGTTCCCACAACATTGACCTCTTCCATAGGACTTTCGTGCTCTCATGTCACGACTACGTTATGGCTCAAAACACATCGACACACAAAAGGAAAAAGTACTTTTGCGTGAAATAGCTAACGTGGAAAATGACCTCCTGGACAATGCCTGCAGATTATCCACGGAGAAGGGATCACTAAGTTCACGAAGAGACAACCAAAGTCAAGATCCGGTATATTTATAGCAATCAAGAGATGCCGTCGGTGCAGGACTACCCCAACTGATACTCCACTGGATACATTCAACGAGAGGAGCTTAGAGTGGGCTCACTGTACCCCGAGACCAAATGACCAACACCTTCGTCTGTTTGCGAAATATGAAGTAGACAGAATGTGACAACGAGAAACTATTCCAGAGAAACGGATGCAGTGAGATTCAAGTCAAATTCAAAGATGATTCTCCAGGTTCGATCATTACCGTAATGTACGACATAATGACTCAGTGTCTTCTGATGAAATGGAAAAAACTGTCCTTTGTTATACGCACGGAACCGAAGATGGTGCCAACTCTTGGGGGTTGTGATTTTGCAGACTCTGAACTCTTCCTGCGTGCCAAGTGTACAGTCGAGTCCTACCGCATCTTGTAAACCTGCAATCTGCAAAAGTTGCCACATGTCAATACGACAAAAGTTTGACATATCCAGCCGAAATCGTGATGTTGCTTTTCTAGCAAAGTGCTTTCACAAAAGTAAACGCATTCCAAAGAAAGGACATTTTACGCAATTCTGCTGGTAGGATGCAGGAATTTGTAGATGTATGGCGAAGACCTAAGCAGTGCACAAGCAATGAAGGCAAAGTGAACAGAGTTTTTCACCAGATCAACACAATTCTCCACAGACGGAATCTGCACACATCAAACCAGTTCAACTGAACGAATTCGACGAGACTAGAATAGAATTCTCATTGGTAAGAGGAGAATTGCTGTGGGACGATGAATGAAACGGGATAACCAGCTGAGAAGTCAGAGGCTGAGCTCCAGCCTTTTCTCATCAAGATGATAAAAATCTGAAACAGCAGATTCCGAGTGAAACAGAACAAGTCGTAATATTGTTCCTCACAACTAATGAGCCAGACATGCCCGAGTCGAGTCGCCCGGTGTAGACGAAGACCTTTCAGGTTAACCAGGGAATAAAATTCTTCGCACCTGTAAAAAAGCTCGACTGAAGAATCCTCGTGCTTCAGACTTCGATGGAGTTGAATGTTTCACGAACAACTGTGAAAGGAGATTCTCGGAGACCTGGCTAGGTCACCATCTCAGTCATCAAACCCCATCACACTGGTAATTCGGGTCCGCGAGGACCGAGGACCGACCGTCCCGATGCTCGCCCACTCGCGGGATCCATCTTAAGTTGACGCTCGGGAATCGATCGACTCAGCAATTCTCAAGGACAAGATTCACGCCTCGCGGTCTCTGAGTTTAGTGATGAGTTGTTCGATGGAGCATCGACTCTTGCCCCAGGCTTGGCTTGACTGGCTTGGGACGACGCAACACTCACTGCCGGCAGAAACCGGTGATTGAAATAACAGTCCTGGAACGATCGCAAAAGGATGGCACGCAGCTGCTGCATTCCGGTCCGAGACCGAGATCCAGATGTCGGCTCTTCCAGGAGATGGATATCAGTAACATAGATCGATCGACAGAGAGCGTGTCGCCGTCGGCTCGCCTCGGATGGAATCGGATCAAACATCCTTATACGGAAGCATTCCCACTTGAGAGAACAATGATAGAGAAAGCCACGGTCGTGAACTAGTTTTCCTGTCCTCCCATAAAACCAGCACCGTGGATTGCATCCTCGTGCCAGGTTCCTGAGCATCTGATGCTGCTCCGTGAGCTCATTCGACGACGGAATGAATGGTTCTCAGCCTTTGACTACGACGACCTCTGCCACATTACATCGATAATCGACACGGCGAGCATCAGCGGCAACGATCCGAGCGATCCCATCGGCGACCGGCCGTCGTACACCCGTGAGCTCTCTGGGGCCAAATTAAACCGGAAATCTTGAAAAATCCCAAACATTTTGGAGATCGAGGTGTGTCAGCTCCGTACTCCTCGACAGCGCGTCGCAGAGAACGAGCTCCCACGGTCATGCAACAGCCCAGCTCATCTGGCAAACTGCACTACGGATATTAAAGATATCATCTCACCCACCTCCTCTCCTGGCCGCTACCATAGACGCGATCACATCGGCCAGGAGCAACAACGACACCGTACCTCACTCACTCACTCACCGTACCCCGTGACCTCACACAGCACGCGGCAGTCGGAGCTGCGATGAATTCCGCTGGTGTCCAGAGTCGGGATCTCGATCGGATGGAGCACGACAAGCATATTGTCTTCTTCCATGGACCTCGCCTCGGGCGCGGCGCCTCGCTCGACGACGCTTGCCACGCGAGCGACGAAGACCGTAGAAGTAAACAATATGAATGTCCGGAGCTCCATTCTGCAGATTCCTGCCATCTGCACGCGGGAACACGTCGCATGTGACGAATTTGGCGCGGGGACGTCGAGCGCGAGGGCGAGCCTTCGCGCTCGCGGCACACATTCGCAATCCACACGCTCCATGTCCTCGTGCAATCCACACGTCGCCCCTCTGCAAACGTTATTTGGCGCGGCCAGCACCGCCAGGTTTACTCGAGTATCGGACAGCGAGGGCGACTGATTACTCTTTCGCCCTCTTCCCTTCCCTTCCTTCGCCCCATCAGCAACGGCCACAGCCCGCACTCTCTGTACGCGCGAGTGCCCTTATATAGGCCCATCTCCGTGCGCAGCATTCTTCCGCCCGATTGCCTAATTACTGCACTCTCCAACCGGAACCACGTAAAATGAAGGTCAACTTTACTGAAATGTCTACAAGATCGTTGTCCGCATGCGTATGGACTGCGGCTATGATTCCGTGTTACCGTTAATCTCCCGCTAGCAACATAGGACTCGTTTTTTGATTGTTTCTTATAGAAAACTATATTCCACTACGGTTTTCCATGGAAAAAACGAGGTTCTAAAAATTTTTTATTTTCCAGGACTATAATGTATTTTACCTTTACATTCATCCATGATGACACGTTGGACCCGTAATTGAAAATGTATCGCAAACGAGGACATCTATGGCAATTGGTCATTCTAATGTGTGTGAACAGTGTTTACACATGTGTATCCCATGACAGTTTAGATCATGTAGATTACAACATGGGTACTCACTGTTACTACTTACATGAATCTACTTTACAAACACTTGTGAAATTCACAGATATGATTAATAAATATGTTTAGATGTTAATTCAATAGTACCAGTAAAGATAATTATTTACTTGAATAAATTGATTATTTTCTGAAATAGAAATCAAATTCCAATAAGAAAATGATTTACATTTACAGCTCTCAAATAGTAAAAATAAAATACAGTATTGTATAATCGAAAGATGGAATTTATATTCAAATTTGAATACAATTCGCCTTAAAAAATGAATCTAAAATTAAAACTATTGTGATGTATAAATTCACGATTTTATATATATCTATTGATATAAAATATCCATAATATTGAGGATTTTTTTCTAAAATTTTTCAGTCATTCTTTTTTATTAGATTATCTGATTTCATAAACTTTAATTTACACGTTATATCAAAAAAATTTATTTATATATATATATATAGAGTGCTTTCACAAATAATTTGTAAACGTGATGAAAAAATTAATTTGAATAACACTTTTGCCTTCTCATTAAATATTATTATATTTTCAATCATAAAAATATCATATTTAGATTATAATAACATTTCAAAATTGATCATATTTTTATGACATAAAAAATTTATCACAATAAATCAAAAATTTAATGTAAAATCTATTATATTTCGACACTTTGTGCTCTCACAAGATTATTAGAAATCAGCAACAGCTGATCTCTAACTAAATCAAATTAAGATCTAAACCTACTTTTTACTCATTGAGCCTAGAGGCTTAACATTCAATCACTAAACTAATTATACGTGATTGGATGCGAAGATCTACAGCCGAATATCATATAGCTTCCACTAATTGCTAATTTCATAGCTCTAGAAAAGAGATATTAATTATTGTACATAAAAAATTATGTATATATATGATGATAATGATTGTATGATAATATTTTTTGATTAATATATACTTCTCACCAATGAAAATTGAAATTCATATGAAAATTGGATATTTTATAGCTCTTATTAACTTTTCATTTGTTTATTGTCATATAATATTTCACAGAAAAATTCAAATGAATAAAAATCATAGATTTTTAAATATTAATCCAAATATATTCTTTTAAATATTCTAGATTTTTCAAGTTGTTGATTTTAGACTCTAAAAAGATTGATAATTTTTCTAAATTAATATATTCTTCAAATATTTATAATTTTTTCAATATACAAAAATAGTAAAAGCAATCCAATAGACAATTATTAACATTAAATTTTGATATTGCTAATACATAGTTGAACTCCATGGGTATATAGCCATGAACAATCAAATATACTTCATTGAATGATATACAAATTTTCATTTTAAGATCTCACGACCAACTGTTTTATAGCTTTTAAGCTAAAAATTTATAATTAACAAGAATTAAAAAATTCTAAATCAAGTAACTATCTTTTTCTTGATTCAAGTATTGATATCTATAACTTATATTAGCAATATGATTAATCTAAAAAAAATCATATTAAAATTTGACATAGTACCTTATATAAACTAGAGTTAACTAAAAGTAAATTGTTTCCAAATTATCATATAATAAATTTATACGTAGATATGACATAATTGCTAGTTACTTTACTTATGTATTGTATGCAAAACAAACGAAATAAAATATTGCCTCATATAACTTTCCATATAAATTTAAATAAGTCGATGTATTTAATCTATTGAGTTTATGTTTTATTTAAACAACTTAGTCTGCGTACAAGAAAGTGCATTTCTAATACTATGATAAACAATGTTTACATTATTATTCATCACTTCATTTGAGTCACAATGAAATGCATTTCGACTATTCAAGTTTGAATTGATAATATACTATTACAATCTTATATTAACAATAAAATTCTATTATCAAAATTTTATTTTGCACGTATTTTATTATTATTTATTTAATGCAAACCTTGTTACAAATTGAGCTACAAATTATTTGCAAAATAGTATACAAACTAAATAAGTTATTCTTGAAAGTATCTTCAAAGTTTTGCTTCAATCTTGTTCATATTTAATATCAATCGTAATATGACAAAATTTTGTCATTGCCTAACAAATCATCAATAACCTATCACTTTTTGATACTTTGGAAGTATAATAAAAATCATTTCATATAATTTTAATGCAGGTTTTTGATGCATTTATTATATTTTTTCTCACCTCGTGCAAACCTATAAAAACATCAATTATACTACATATTATTGAATAGGATATTTACTTTATTGTCAAAAAGATTGACAACATTATTACTTTTTTCATAGTATCAGTTGGAAATTTGCCTGCTTAAATTATCTTTTAAAATTAATTTTTATTCTACCATGTTTAATGATTTTAATTTTCTTTTTTCTCACATCTACACTTCGTTATATGAACTCATATCAATTTAAAAAATAAACAAAAATATTGATATTTGTTTATTTTCAAAAAATCTACTAAGTAATTTGATGATTTTTTTAAAAAAAATTATTGATCTTTGTAGTAACATGCAACATGTAAAATTTCATCGATTATTATGTGTTTTTCCTATTTTTTGAAAATATGCTATATTTTTTTTGAAATAAAATTCTAGTATTAAAATTTTATGACCATCATATGTTATATTTTTTTTTACCAACATCTTTGAACAAATGCATGACTTTGAGAATAACAAAACAATGACACATAAAAAGAAAATTTTTTCATAGAAATTTACAATTTAGAAATTTATATGGAGAAGGTTTTAAATAAAAATATCAAGAATATTTGGCATAAATTTTATGAAAAATATCCATCAATAATTGAGAATATTTAGAAGGATAATTATAAAAATTAAATAAATTTGAAATTTTTTCAGATAAAAATAAACTCACACTTAAGAAAATAATATGAGAAATGAAGATAGCATCAAAAGCTATTTGAATAATTTATTAAAGTTTTAAGTGAGATAAGTTAGTTTTGAAAAATTAAACTAATAAAAATAAAAACAAGAATCAATCTACCTATAAATGAGATTTCTTTTTACTGATATTAATATTTAATTACAAAGAAGTAATAAATAATCAATGAACTAAAATCAAATTATATATTTGATCAAATATACAAAAATAAGTATAGAATTAGTTTCTTTTTTTGTGAAATTTTATTTTTTAAAAATCCTATTAGAAATAAATTTTGAATATGAATGCATACATGCAGGAAATTGAAGATCAATTGAAGATAAAAATTAAGCTTCAAATAGAGTATTATACATAAAAATCTTCTTATTGTAATGTATTCCAAAATAAAGTTTAAAATTAATTGAGATGTAAGATTGAAATTTGAAATGATCTTTGTATGAGAAGTTTCATAAAACGCTTTTAGATAAAGATGAATGGTTCAAAATAAAATTTTTTCTAAATAAATTTAGAAAAAAAAAACAAAATTGTAAATATAAAATAAATAAAATATTATAAATAAAAGTATTACAATCAGAATCTTCTGAACAATCTCATATACATCACACATAAGTGATTTTTATTTATATCTCATTTATAATTGATATGTAATATTATTTGAAGGAAATGAAATTCCAAATGATTAACAAGATTTAACACTAGGAAAAAGAGATGAGCTCACTTGACCATGAAACATAATTCCGAACATGAGAGTTATCTATATTGATTCACTCTACTTCATATAAATTTTAACTATAAAGCACACGAATCATTGACGTGACTTCTATAGATAATCCAGTAAAATGTAACGAAATTTCCATCTAGAATACATTATACTTTGGTTCTTACTAACTAAAAATGATTACACAAGATATAAACCTAAATACATATTCAAATAATTTTTTTAAATTAAAAACTCAACATCAAATTTTTTTGTATGATACTTGACTATAACACAATATTCATTTATTTTTCTAATGACAAAAATTTATCGCTTCTAAAATTTGAATATTCATTATCAAGAATAACTCATATTATATCAAGAGTTAGTAATAGTGACTTTGTCAAACTAATTCTTGAACCATGTATATAATTATGTATTTTTTTCTAAATATAAATTCTTTTTACACATTGTCATCTTAAAAAATAATTTAATTTTACTTTTTATACTAATTTTATAGTTTTTTTTCATATAACATGAGTCAAAACATATTAATTATATAAAAAAATTTGTAATAAATGATTCTTAATGTTAAATTTTTTAAAAGTTATCATTTTTCATAGCAAAGAAATTTGTTGATACTAAATTAAAAGATATAAAAATTTCATAAAATCAAATGCGATAAACAACAATATATCTAAAAATTACACATACTCAATGTATTTTGATAATTTTTATACACCATAAGTTTAGATTGTTATTACATGTATAATCAAGTTATTATACTTGCCATCAATCTTATGTGTCACATTCATTAAAATGTTTCAACACTGATGATTATGAATGCAAAACACGCAACTGAAAGTAAACACTTGACACTATAAAATGTAGTTCATCCCTTGGAAAGTGC